AGTCCTGTAGGCCCCTGAAGGCCAGGTCTTAGAGGTCAGCGGGCCAGATTCCAGCTTGGGTCTGAGCAGGTTACGAATCAGCAGGAGGAGGGGTGCATTCCGTGGTGTAACTTGGCTTCGTCATCTTGGCTGAGGAGCAAAGTTTACTCACAAAGAGTTGTTTTTTGTTTTTTTTTAACTTGTTACTTGGTTCTATGTGTGAGGGAAAGGAGACAGGGGAGCCAAAAGTTGGGGAGGGAGGTCAATGTTGGGAATGGCTTGCTGTGACACATTTATCTATTCCTTGCACAAGGTGATATGTAATAACTCTCTGAGTATTGGCTGATGGTACAAAGTGGTCGGTCAGTAGCATCTGGGCATTTTAGGATCCAAAAATGAGAGGTACGTGTTGGTATTTCAGATATTTAGAAGGAGGCCCCACAGAAGTTGTACTGTATCCCCATTCTTACGTTCATTTGTCCATTCAGCCAGTGGACGATTTCTGGAAATGGATGTGCCATCATGGTGGCACTAAGGGCCACGAGACGCAGTCCAGGTCCAAGAGAAGCTTCCTTGCAGTTGGGCTGTTTTATAACTGCTCCCAAATCATGTTAGCTCTGGAGGCTATTTTAGGGACTCTTTTGGTTATGAACCATATCTTATATTTAATTTTGATTCTTTTTCTCCTCCTGTCCTGGATTCAGTAACAGCATCAACAAACACTGTGCGCCTGGCGTTGTCTTAAGCATTGCAAGTATTTAGAGAAATCAGAGATAACTTGGTAAGAGCTCATCAATTAACTAGACCCGGCACAGCCTCCCAAGGACGTTGGGCCTTCCCCATGTAGTCACCACTTTTCGTGTCTTGGAGGACCCTGAGCTTCTGTCTGGAGTGTATCAGTATCCGCGAAATATCTAGAGCTGGGCCACAAGGTGGAAGGCTTTGCCCCCTCTTCTCCTTGGTTGGTGATGTTTGTAATAACAGCAAGAATTTTAGCCCAGCCCAGGCTGGCCCCTGAAGGTGGCAAGGCTCCAGCTTTCCACCTACCTCCTGGGGGCTGTAGATGTCACCCCTTTGCTCCTTTCTTTTCATCTGCCACCAGATCAGGTGAGGACAGTGTTCTACTCTTTCCTTAGCCAAAGTCCAGTTTAATAGCTATGGGGAACTGTTCATCTCTGGTCTTTGATTCTCTGGATGCAGATGGGTTTGACAGTGGTCTTCCCACCTGTGGGTTGAGGACAGCTGATTTCTGTGTCCTGTATTCTTAGCCTTCCATGAGGCCACAGGGAGAACCATGGAATGGATGCCAGGGTTCAGAGTTGGGGTTCACTCTTTTAAGCCTAGCACGTTCTCAGGACCGTCCAGCCAGAGGGTGAGGTGATCGCTCGTGTTTGTGAAAGCACAAGTCGGATGTCCCTTTGGTATTTGCTTGGGAACCCTTTCTAGAAACTGGAGTGAGATGAGTAAACTCATGTTTGACAAGTCTGGTTCAAAGGAAGGGGAGAGCAGCAGAGGACCAGGGCATGCAGGGAAGGGCCTTGGACGAATGAGCCCGTTTCCAGTGTGTTTGTCAGGGACTCCGGGGTGGTCGTGTTGACAGGGAGGCCTACTCTAGCCCCATCAGCCAGTCGACGAGTATTGATTGAGTGCCACTGGGAGTTGAGCTTTGAGAAGAGTAAAAGAATTCCAAAGCTTGCCTGGGCCCCGTCTTTGAAATGTTCATACTCTATCAAGGTGGAGGCACCAGCTGAGCACACGTGTTGACACGTGACAGCACGTTACTAGGCTCTTACTCACAACATGGCGTATACATGTTGTTGGTGTCTAGACAAGGGAGAACATCACGGTGGCAGATGTGTGGCCTGCCTGGAAAAGAATGTCTCACAGAGACCATGGGCCTCAGATTCTGGGCCAGCACCAGCAGGGTCCGGGTGCCTTCTCCTTGCAGGAGCTTGGGCAGAAGAAAGGATCCATCCAGGGAGCACTCAGGAAAGGGGGGGCAGGTAAGCTCAGGATCAGAGAACAGGGTTGGATTCCTAGCTAAGGGAAATGGAGCAGATGAGCAGCCATAATGTGTGTGAAAGCATCTGGCTTAGTGTTTTGCATATAGAAATAATTCAGCAACGGTTTCCTCATCTATCCCTAAGATCACAGAGAAGAGAGTCCCAAAGAAGACACCAAGCGAGGTTTTCAGAGGGGTGTGTGGAGTTATAAGTGGGCGGGCGTGGAGGAGCCGGGCAGCTCCAGTGGACTGAGCCAGAGAGAGAGTGTATGGAGTCCTGGGGAAGGAAGCAGGCTCTGCCGGAGGTCGGCCTGCTGTCCCTTGGCCTGTGAGGGCTGCTTCTGGAGCACTGTCCAGTTGTTGACCCCGATTAGGAGGGAAAATGTCAGACTAGAGCAAGTGGAGAGGAGGGGCTGCTAGCCTGTGAAATCTGGCCGTATTGATCCCGGAGAGGGAAAGAATTCGGTGGAGCGGGTTTGCTGGGCATGGCTTTGTGTATTTAAAGGACTGTCACATGATGTGGGTGTCAGGCTTACTCTGTGGCACTCCAGAAGGCAGCTCTGGGGCCAGTGGGGAACAGTGGCAGAGAGGCCGATGTTGATGGGTGGAACTTAAAATACTTTCCCAGCATTTGAGCTGTAAAGGACGTGAGGGAGGGAAGATGGGTGACCCTGTGAGATGGGTGGGAGCTCTTTCTGTGGGGCCGACAGGGTTTCCAGGTAAGCCGAGGGGCCACCACGCATGGACGCTGATAATAAAAACGAGGGCTACCACTCCACGGACCCTTGTGTACCATGCAGTCCTACTGAGCGCTTTACTGGTAGGGACTCACTCGCTCCTCACAGGAACACCGGGAAGGGGTATGAATAGCTTGTTGGCCCTACTTTACAGGGGAGAAAGTTTAGGCAGAGAGATAGTCACCCAGCCAGGGTCCCCCACCTTGGCCTTGAACCCAAGGCCAGGCTTGTTATTGGTGAAAGGTGAGGCCAGATGACCTCGAGGGCACCTTACATCACCAGGAATCTAAAGGCTTTATCTGGAGGGTCATGCCAGACCATTTGCGTGGGGCTGGGGGACTCTGTTGGGTCTGGGACAGGAATGGTGGTTACTGCTCTCAGGCGACTTCAGGAGGCGTGCATTTGCCTGACTGCAAGGTCAATGCCGGGGCGGGGGGGTGGGGGGCGTGTCGTGGGGGCTCTGTGAGGGGCGTTCTGTTGGCTGTTAGGCTCCTGTCTGGTGTCCCCCACAGCCCTCTAGTGACACCGGGTTCTCAGAAGCACTAGTGGCACCCTTTTTATGTCACCCTATGCAGAAGCTTCTCGATGGTGCCGTCAGCACACCTAACCTGCTGGTCCGCCCCCACCGCCCAGCCTTGCCTCCCCAGAAAGGCGTGGGGTGATGCTTAACATGCTGTGGCCTGGAGGGGCGGCAAGATGTGAGCCTCTTCATCTGGGGGGGGGCCCAGGGTGGGATTGAGGAGCCAGTTGTCCTCCTGATGCCCTGCTTTTGCAGATTACCAGCGTCTGGTGATCTGGGAAGTCGCCTGCTGGCCAAGGTAGAGTTCCACAAAATGTGCCTAGCGCTGTGCCTGACGCACACACAGGAGGCCCCAAGGAACTTTCTGTGATAAATAGATGGTCCCTTCTTGTTGTACGACAAGCCTGCTTTTTCAGTACTCACCCAGCCCCTGAAGGTTTTGAAGTTGGTCAGGGGGAGAGTGTCGACGAGGTGGGGTGCTCCACTCACCCCAAATTACATGGCATTGGGGGAAACCTCCTAATGTGATCTTCTGTTTTTTAAGGCAGAGCTGTTATTGCTGCTCTGCTTTGGGGGAAAGAACATTGACCTCAGAGGCCTGCCCCAGATCCTAACCTGAGAGTAACTGCTGCCCACTGGTCCCAGAGGGCTTCCGAAAGCAGAACCCTCTCGAAGAACGTTGCTCCAGCACTCTCCCTCCATCAATAAGACAATCACAGGACTGTCTCTCAGCCCCAAAGATTCTGGTCAGCAAACCTTCCCTGCTCATGAGTTCTCTATAGGCAGAGGTTGTATTCATTCACACCATCAAAGATTTTTGGAACCTGACTTTTGGTGAGGTTTTATATTATGAAAACAAAATTCTGAAATTGAAAGTCGTGTTATGAAAATGCATCCCAAAGATCGCCCCCAAATATGACATTAACGATTATGTCGTAGACTGCCCCCGGCCCCCCTCCCACCCACCTCAGCCCTGGAGGCCTTGTCCCTGCTCCAGCTCCTGGCAAGGTTGGCACTTTGCGGAAAGCCCAGACTTGCATGCTGGCATGCATGATGGCCCCGGTGTCTTTCCTCTTCCTTTTTGGGCTGCGGGTATGGGCACGGGCATGCCTCTGTGTGGGGGAGAATGCAGTATGGAAATTACAGCTCAAGTCAGAGTTGTTTGGGGAACCCCCTGTCCTACTGGGGTCTGTGACTCGTGCTATCTAGATCTGACTCAGCTAAGCAAAGCGATAGTTTGTTCTGGAGCAGGACAGAAACTTCATTTTTGAGTGACATGGCACTAAGCTTGTGTGTTCACACAAAGGTCAGTACAGCTCCATGACTCATCAGCTGTCCAGGATCTGCATGCCCTAGAGACATCTCTTCCTGCCGGGAGCTTCCCTCCTGGATCAAGACAAAGAACCCCAAGAGCAGCAGGAACATCTGAGGGTCTCAGCCTGTGCCGGAGGGCACCTGGGCAAGACCTCTTAGACCACCCGCACCCGGGCACGCCTGGCCTGGCCTGGGTTACAGGCCGCACGTCCCATCCGTACAGGGATGGGGTAGGGCTCCCTTCAGCCCAACTCACGTGGCCCAGCCACACTCCATTTCTCTGGAAATTATTTTCATCCGTTGACAGGGCCAGGATTTCAAGAGCAGCCAGCCAAGAGGCGCATTGGGTTACTCCCTGAGTCCCAAGCAGACTTTGTCCCCTGCATTTCAGGCGGCACTGGAAGCCCCTGGTCCAGGGGTTTCCAGGGCCTTTGGTTAGCAGAGTGACTGGTTCAGTCATCCTCGGTGCATCGTCAGAATAATAGGTGCCGGTCCCGTCGTCAGCCTAGGTTTTGCGTGAAGCTGAGCCGTGAGCCCTCTGGCCGCAGCTTAGATTTCATGTTCGGTGGCCTAGGACAAGATAAGACATTTTAGCCTCTTTCACTTTACCAGGAGGTGATGGGAGCCAGCTTGGGCAGGACATTTTGGAGCCTGGACTTTTGGCCCAAGAGGCAGACTGAGTCAGTCTGCCCAGGAGAAAGCGTCTACTTACGAACAGGGCATCTTGGTCCCAGTATCTGCCATCCCAGGCCTGACCATCCCCCCCAGCAAACAAACGCACCCTGTCACTCTGTTTTCCTTGGGCATATTCCATGAGGGAGTCTCTTTTGGTGCTGGGGCTCACTTCCATTTGTGATGTGAATTCAGGACCTGCCTTGGCCTTCACTCGTCTTCCCTCACCCCGTAGCCGTGGGAGTCCCGTGCTCTCAGGGCTGGCATTGGCCAGGCCACTTACGGTCTGCTGCTGCCTGGCTCCAGCTCCCCGTCTGTGGCGACATTCTGGGTCTGCATCTGCATCTCACCTCTGCCAGGACCTACCCTTCAGCACAGGCTGTCCCCAGCCCTTGTCTCGGATTTGCACTTGGCACGTGGTACCGCATTGTGTCCTTGGGGTGTTTGTTGTCACTGCTGGGCCGTGTTTTACTTTCACTCAGCCACCTGGGTAGAAGTGCCCTAGTCCCTTGGGTTGGGGATATGAGGGGAACGACTCCTCAGTGGCTCCGGGGCAGCGTTGGGGGGGATGCTAGGAGACTGACAAGATGCAGTCTTCAGGCTGACCGCATCATGGTCATCATTATTGATTGAAGCTATTGGCAGCACTGTTCCTCCTGGAATCTTCCCCCATCAGACTTCTAATTTATGAGCACCATGTCTGACACCCACCCCCAGCCCAGCATCTACTCAGACTTTGTCTAATCATATAATATTTGCAGATCCTGTGTTTTTGTTTCTTCTTAAAATATCCCAAGATTAAAAATTATCTTACCAAGAATTTAACCGGTATAGCACTTTGGCTTTTACTTGGCATCTCTCTCTAACCGTTTTTCTTCAAGCCCTTCCTCTGCCTCGGACCCACCACCTGAACACACTTGATCTTATCTGCTACTTTGTCTTATCACCGTGAAGCTAGGCTGGCTGTGCCTGGTTACTGTTTGGATGGAAGACCGGGAATGCCAAGGTGTTAGTAGGCCTTTCCTTCCAGTGCCCGATATGGTACCATGCCCCAAATCATCATTGACTGGCATCGTGCTTATTATCATCGTGGTAGCTGGCAGCAGTTGAGCATTTATTTTGGTGTTTTTTTACTGAATTTTAAAAATCGTTACTGAAGTCTAACTGACGTACAATGTTATGTTAGTTTCAGGTGGGCAGCACATTGATTCAGCAGTTCTCTACATCACTCGGTGCTCACCACCTTCAGTATAGTCACCGTCTGTCACCATGTTATTACAATATTATTGGCTGTCTTCCCTCTGCTGTACTTTTTGTCTCCATGACTTACTTATTTTACACCTGGAAATTTGTTCCTCTTCATCCCCTTTATCTATTTCACTTATCCTCCCACTCACCTCCCCTGTAGCAGCCACCAGGTTTTCCTCCACATTCAAGAGTCTGTTTTTTCATTTCTTTGTTCGTTTATTTTGTTTTTTAGATTCCGAATCATACGGAATTTGTCTTTCTCTGACTTATTTCACTTAGTACCCTCTGGGTCCATCCGTGTTGTCACAAATGGCAAGAGCTCACTCTCTTTTATGGCTGAGTAATATTCCATTGTGTGTATATATGTATACCACATCTCCTTAACCATTCATCTGTGGGTAGACACTTTACATTTACTATTGTAAATAATGCTCCAGTAATAAACATAGGGGTGCATGTATCTTTTCAAATTAGTGTTTCCATTTTCTTTGGGTAAGTACCCAGTGCAATTACTGGATCATGTGGTATTTCTACTTTTAATTTTTTGAGGAACCTCCATACTGTTTTCCACAGTGGTTGCCCCAATTTACATTCCCACCAGAAGTGAATAAGGGTTCCCTTTCTTCTACCTCCTGGCCAACACTTGTTAATTCTTGTCTTTTTGACATTAGCCATTCTGACTGGTGTGAGATAGTATCTCATTGTGGTTTTGATTTGCATTTCCTTGATGGTTAGTGATAGTGAGCATCGTTTCATGTGTCTCTTGGCTATCTGTAAGTCTTTGGAAAAATGCCTATTCATGTGCTCTGCCCATATTTTAATTGGATTGTTTGGGGGTTTTTTGGTGTTGAGTTGTGTAAGTTCTTTATATATTTTATATATTAATTCCTTGCTGGATATATCAATATCTTCTCTCATTCAATAGGTTGCCTTTTTATATCTTCTCCCATTCAATAGGTTGCCTTTTTTTTTTTTGGTGGTGGTTTCCTTTGCTGTGCAGAAGCTTTTCATTTTAGTGTAATCCCAGTAGTTTATTTTTGCTTGTTTCCCTGGCTTGCGGAGACATATCCCTAAACGTGTTGCTGAGGCTAAGAGATGACTGCCTATGTTTTCTTTTAGGAGTTTTATGATTTCAAGTCTAACATTTAGGTGTTCAATCCATTTTGAGTTTATTTTTGTGTATGGGGTGAATAATAGTCCAATTTCATTCTTTTGCATGTAGCTGTCCAGTTTTCCAGGCACCATTTATTGATGAAAAGATTGACTTTTCCCCGTTGTATCTTTTTGCCTCCTTTGTCATAGATGAATTGATCATATTTGCATGGGTTTGTTGCTAGGCTCTCGTCCTGTTGCATTGATCTGTGTATCTGTTTTGTGCCAGTACCATACTATAGTTTTGATTACTATAGCTTTGGGTAGCATAACTTGAAATCTGGGATTATGGTATCTCCAGCTTTGTTCTTCTCAAGATTGCTTTGGCTATTCTAGCTCCTTTGTGGTTCCATAGAAATTTCAGGATTATTTGTTCTAGTTCTGTGAAAAATGTTCCGGTATTTTTCTAAGGATTGCACTGAATCTGTAGATTGCTTTGGGTAGTATGGACATTCTAACGGTATTGGTTCTTCCAGTCCATGAGCATGGAATATCTTTCTATTTGTTTGTGTCATCTTCAGTTTCTTTCATCAGTGTCCTACAGTTTTAAGAGTGCAGGTCGTCTTTAACCTCCTTGGTTAAATTTATTCCTAGGTACTTTGTTCTGTGTGGTGCAATTATAAATTTGATTGTTTTCTTGATTTCTCTTTCTGCTACTTCATTATTAGTGTACAGAAATGCAACAGATTTCTGTGCAATAATTTTGTATTCTGTAACATTACTGAAATTCATTTATCAGTTCCGATAGTTTTTTTGGTGGAATCTTCAGGGTTTTCTAGACGGGTATTTACTTGTCGGGCATTGTGCAGAATGCTTCTGTATCTCATTATAGCCTTACCAAGAAAGCCCCTAGGAAGTATGGATGAAGCTGAAACTAGAAACTTAGAGGGGAGAAGTAAGTTGTTCAAGTCTATGTAACAAGTAAAGAGGCTATACTAGAATTTAGATTCAAACCTGTCTCATTTTTTCGTCTGAGTTTTTAACCACTCTATGTGCTATCTTTGTTTAGTAGTATGTACTCACTTAATGTTTGTTGAGTGGCAAGATTGCTCCAACAGTTTGGTCTCCATCGTATCATTAACCATGATGAAGGCAGCACCCAGCGTCTTTTTGAATACTTACAGTGGTAGGCCCTGTACTAAGTGATGTACGTCAGTTAATCTATTTAATCTGCACAGCCCAATGAGGAAGATTTTCCCCATTTTTCAGATTAAGAAATTGAGGCACAAGAAGGCTGAGTTAATTTGCCCAAAGTCACATAGCTAAGTAGTAGATAGGCGGGATTTGGATGCAAGTTATCTCTTGCACAGTATGAATCTGTTCTCTTGATCACTGTTACTGTCTACAAAAAACAAGACTCTTTTTTTTTTCAAAGATTTTATTTATTTATTTGACAGAGAGTTACACAGCGTGAGAGGGAACACAAGTAGGGGGAGTGGGAGAGGGAGAAGCAGGCTTCCCGCTGAGCAAGGAGCCCGATGCGGGGCTCAATCCCAGGACCCTGGGGTCATGACCTGAGCTGAAGGCAGACGCTTAATGACTGAACCCAGGTGCCCCCAAAAAACAAGACTCATTTTTACCACTGTCCCTTGCTTCTTCTTTGTCTTCCTTTCTTTGTCTATTCCTGATCCTTCTTTTACTTCTGAGAGGTCCAGACTGGGGCGCTCCTCTCAGACTATGCCTGTCCACACTGAACTCACTTTGCAAGATTGGTTCCTTGATTTATATTTTCTTCAACTTCACTTGTTGGCAAATCCTCATGTTAAAATCACCTGATTAAGTTTAGTGCTCCATAATACAAGAATAGACCTACTTGTCTGTCTTATTTCTGACCAAAGGACTGGAACAGGGAGCCCAGAAACAGATCCGTACGTATCTGGACACCTGACCGATGACAGAAGAGGCTCTGCTGAGCAGTAGGACATGACAGTCATTTTAATAAACAGTGCTGGGACCGTTGGATATCCACAAGGAAAGAAATGAATCTCGACCCCACCTCACTTCATACACAAGAATAAACTCCAGAGAGATCATCCCTCTACATGTGTGGGTTAAGACAAAGTAAAACTCCCATCTACAAGATAACTCAGAATATCTTCATAACCTTGAGGTAGCCATACATTTTTTAGGAAGACACAAAAAGCACTAGCTAAAAAGGGAAAGATTGATAAGCTGGATTACATGAAAATGAGAAACTTCTGATCATCAAAAGACATCACTGAAAGAGAAAAGACAAGCCCAGTGGAGAAGACACAGGCAGGACCTATAACTGGCAACTGGATTTGTACCCAGGATATGTAAAGACTCCAAGAAATCAACAAGAAAAAGAACCCCTGCCCTCAAAATGGGCAAAAGAACGTCCCATACATATAGGGTTGTGAGCCATGTCGTTTGCTCTTCTGGTTCCAGGTTTCAGCCCGTTTGTCCCAGATCATTGGCACAACCTGGTGGCTGGCCTTGGGAACTCTTGAGTCCCGTGGCTCTTGGTGACATTTCCCTTGTGTGGGGACTGCAGGCCCTTCCTTTCGCATGTCCTGACGCACTCAGCTGTTCGTTCTGCCACGAGTGCCTCCTTTCTCATGAAGACGTAATGCATAAGTCTCTTCCTCTTTTCCTTTGGGTTGTTAACTTTTGATCAGATATTTTAAGAATATTTCTCTCCGGAAAAAAAAAAAAAAAAGAATATTTCTCTCCGGCTTCTTCCTCCCCGCCACCCCTCCACCTCTTTTTTCATTTCCCTTTTTTTGTACCTCCTTGTTTTGCCCTAAAAACTTGTGGTGATAAAAGTTATCCTGAAGTATCTACGTGTTTGGGGGATGAGGCTTGTTCTGTGGGCTCCAGAGGCAGAGCAAAGACGAAGGCTAGTAGTTAGTTACCAGAGAGAGATTTCATCTCCGTTATATTCCGTTGTCGGAGTCCTCCAAAGCTGGGATGGGAGTTATTGAACCAAGGTGAGGCTGGACAATGCCTTGGTCATGGTGTTGTTTTTTGAGGGCTCTGTGCCTGGGTGAGCAGCTGGATTGTCCCTTCTAATTTTCCCAGCAAAGCCCTGACAGACTCTTCGATGACGTGCAGAGTAGCAACTCCTAACTGAGAGAGAGGGCCAGGATATTGGAATGACTCTCTTGTCTTTCTGGTGGATCAGGGTAAGGCACAAATACAAGTGCTTTAGGGGCACCTGGGGGGTTTAGTCTGTTCAGTGTCTGACTCTTGATTTCGGCTCAGGTCATGATCTCAGGGTTATCTCGCTTAAGAGTCTCTCCATCTCCTTCTGCCCCCCCCCCCAAATACCAGCTCTTTAATGGTATCATGTATATTTAAAAACAGTTCTAAAGCACCCTTCCATTCATAGCCCTCCACATAGGGCTCGTCGACAACCACTGACCCGAAGGCTGAGGTCCCTCTCAACTTTTCTCTCCGCTGTCCTTCTCCTCCAGTCGCGGCACCTGTGAGGTGAAGTTCTCTGCAGTTACGTTCTTCATTCCTTTATCTTATTTAAATCCACGCTCTGGCTGAGCTTGCTCTGATCTTTTTCGTAGCAAACGTATCGCATTTTGGATACATTAACACAAAGAAAACAAATTGGAAGCTCTGCAGGTATGTTTTGACTTTTAAAAATTTTTGATGGTGTTTAAAACTTGGAAGTTTAATGAAAGTCTGGATTTCTGCCTTCGCCCGAAAAACCGGACAATGTGGGCTCCTGGTGGCCTCCATGGGCAGATGGCCTCAAGCAGGCAGGGCTGGGGTGGGCTGCCCATGAGGAGTGGTGTGCTCCTTCCACTTGGCGCACTCCCTCCCCAACCCGCTTCGCGCCTTTATTACCCGCCTAGACCCCAAAGGCATTGGGGTTTGTGACTTCCTGAAGTGGGTCAAGTGGGCTAGCCTGGGAACCCAACCAGTGTGTTTAATGTTATTTCAGTGGGAAAATGAATCCCAGCTTTTGAAGAGCAGATTTTCGGGGCACCTGGGTGGCTCAGTTGGTCAAGCGTCTGACTTCGGCTCGGGTCATGATCTCAGGGTCCTAGGATCGAGCCCCATGTCTGGCTCTCTGCTCGGCGTGGAGTCTGCTTCTCCCTCCTGCTTGTGATCTCTCTTGCTGTTTCTTGCTATCTCTCTCTCTCTCAAATAAGCACATAAAATCTTTAAAAAAATAAATAAATAAAGAGCAGATTTTTGAAATATCAAAAATACCGGTTTGGGAATGTTGATAGGGGCCCTCAACTAGTATGTGTGGGTCTTAGGGTGATGGCCTGTGTCTTCTTCTATGCTGTATGTTGGCTTAGCACCTAGAAGGTACCTGATAAGTGATTTACCTCATTGGGCCACTGGGTGCCTGTTGTCTGCTGCCTCCCAGGTGGTAAACTGAAACACTTTCACTGTGGTCCACCTGTCAATTAATCTAGAACACCTACTCTAGCCCCAGACGCTTGCATGGAGTTTGAGGTCAGCCCCCCGCAGAGTTACCCTGTCCTGAGAAAAACAGTTTCTTTCCTGGTGAAAGATCCAGTCCCCATAGAGTAGGCCCGAATGAGGAGAGGAGAGGACAGAGGCCTGCACTAAAGCATGCTTTCCTGGCGGATGCCCACCGACCAGGAGTTTGTGGCGGTGACCGAGTGATTGCATTCCACACCCTGGACAAGGACTGGGTAAAAGTTCAGCTCCTTCCCTGTAAAGAAAATAATTCTTCATCTCTGGCATTTCGTAGTTTTGACCCAGATCAGTCAGAGGCCACAGAGAGCTCATGTGGTCTGTAGAGTGTGTGTGGCTTCCTGGGCCTGTCTCTGGGAGAAGCCGAAGGGAGCCGGGGACCTGCTGGGCTCGAGGTGAAGCCCTGCCTTTTCAAGTTTGCCGTGGCCCAGCCTCCCCAGGCCTCATGGGGTGGACGGAAGGAGCCAGCACCTTCTCCTCGCTCAGAAGTTATCTTTACCCCTGAAATCAAACACTGCATGCAGCGCCCTGTAAAACTTCCTTGTAGACTCGAGCTTGCTTGCTAAGTAAACATCCTCCCGTGTTTTTAGAACTGAATTCATTTCTGCTTCCTGGTCATCCCATTCGGGTGTTTCTGTTGTGGGCACAGCGCAGAACCAGGTTAATAGAAGGAAGACCTAGAGCGGGGACAGAGGTGCCTAGAATGACTGTTTGAATCCTAGGAAAATTGTGGAAAGAATAACACGGGAAGAGAAAGCAAAGACTTAGAAGAAAAGCGAAATGAAACAAAGCCTCCCCAAACATAGTGCTGTCCTAACGCTGTTCAAGTCAGACTGGGGCCCGGCTGAGTCCCTGAAATGGGGCCCTTTCTCTGCACGGACTCAAGCTCCGTTGTGCCGTGGTTGGAGACCATGGCCGGCCTCTGTCGGTAAATTCCGTGGCTGCATATGGCCCTCCTCTGACCCTCACTTGTTCCTTGCTCTCTCTCTCTCTCTCTCTCATGACTTATTTGCCTCTCTTCTCTCACTTCCACCCACCCATGACCTCTCCATCGCCATGGCAGTGAGCAGCCACGTCATTCACCAAGTTCATGGGGTGATGGGCCAACTCCTCGAGCCCTACTTCCCTCTGGTTCTCCCTCCTGAAGCAGGAGGCTCCCTGGCAGAGCTCAGAGCCCTTTGTTTATTTGATCCTGGGCTCTTGGATAAATCAGGAATGTCCTGACATGAACTTAGGCATGTTTTTCTTCCATGGAAAAGGGAACTACGGCAAACGGTATTTAAGTAGACAGAGGACCATTCCGAGGGACTTACTTTAGTGCGATCAAGGCCTCATTCCTTTGGTCATCAGACCAGTAGGTGACTTCTTTATTGGCATGCGCTTCCCTGGAGCCCAGAAGGTGTGAATTTGAAGCATTTTCCCCCTGCTGGGAGCCTGGCACGGACGCTCTGGGCTTCTTTTAAACCCGTGGAGTGCCACGGTCGTCTTCCAAGTGGTCTTCTTTCTGCGGGGTGGAACCTTGGCCCTGAGTAGTTGCCCGAAGAAGGCGGCTTGGGAAGCAGGGTGCAGGAGAAGGTGGCCGCCTGGTCTCTCGTTCTCAAGTCCTCTTCCCGGAAGTTGCAAGGTTCTTGATGTGATATACCTTATGAGTCAGCTACCCCAGGACCTGAGTGTATCGCGTCTAGTTTCACGTGCCGCTGGTCGTCATAAACCTTTGCTGGTCTGCATTGTTTGGACACAGTGGCGTGGGGACCCGAGACTCCCCGGGTCTTTCTGGGTATGCAGGGTCTAGCGAGTTGGCTTCTAAGCTGTTCTGGAAATATTTTGGGGTCTGGGGGCAGGAAAACGTTGGGAGCTATGTCGTTAGCTGCAGCGGGGACCTGTCAGTATCCAAAAACAACCCCAGCCGGGCTTCAGAGGGCCCGTGGGAAAGCCCCGTCCCCATGAGAGTTTCCAGGTGTGGGCAGGCCTGGCGCCACCATCGGGGGGCCGTGGTGGGGAGCTGGCCGATGCTCGTTTCGCAGGGCTGCCCACCGCGGGGAAGAAGAACCCAGCCGTTGGCCACTCCAGGTCCAGGCTTGGCTGCTGCTCTGTTTTGCTGCTTTTCATGTTGTCAGAGGATCTTCTTGGGAACAAATGACTCAGCAACCTGAATCTCTGGGACTGAGTGGCCTAAGTGCCTTTTGAGAAGTGATCGGACGTTTCCACCGAGGCCCTAAAATCCTGAGCCCGGAACGAATCCAGATCCAGGCTGGTTTTATTCTGGATTCTTCAGGCTGCCGTTCAATTAGATTTCTCCAGCTCCCGCCCCGGTAAAAGGACAGCATTCGCGGGGTAAGCAGGCAATGTTCTAATCACACTTTTGGTCCTTAGGAAATTCCAGGGAGAAAAAGATCCTGGTGTGTGGCCAAAAAAAGCAGAAAACAACACAAGTCAGCCATGGCCATCATTCTGGACGTGTCCGCGGCAGAAAGAGTTAATAGTAAGACTGTGTCAGGGTGAGGGCCATCTTACTCTCCTGTCTGGGAGAAGCTCATACGGTTCAAGAAAAGATGAGGCAACCTTTAGTGTGGGACAACCCTGTCTGGGTTCCGGGCGCTGTCACTCAAAGAGTTAAGCTAGTTTGGTGGCTGGGAAGCCCTCGGGGAAGGCGTGAGCCTGCAGGGACCAGGCCCTCTCTGCCCCAGAGCAGTGAGGTATATGGGGTAAGAAAATGGGCTGAAAAGTGTGGCCAGGGAAGTGGAGTGGAGGCCCAACTTTTTTTTTTTTTTTTGCCTTGTTTGACCAGCCTTGGCACGGCCCTCCGGCTCTCCAGGGGAAAAGCTGCAGTTCTGCTCTTGCAACACAAGGAGCAGACTGGAGAATTTAGATCTGCGTCACAGAGCTCAGAGAGAGAGAGGAGAGAGAGAGAGAGAGAGCGCTCCGTCGATAGGTCTGCTAGCAACAGCCGTGCTGCAGCAGAGAGAGAGAGAGAAATCAAGAAACAAGTCATAGCAACACCGGGCACCAGGTTCTGCCAGCTCACTTGCCAAGCGTTCAGAAATCTGTCAGGGGCTGGCGGCCTCTGGGTAGCCCGGGCTAAGGAGATGACACGCAAGGTGGCACGGGCGGTTCCCGCGGGGGGGAGGTGGGTGGTGGTGGGGGGCAGGGGTGGGAGCCAGAGGTTGCGGGGCGATGGTGGAAGGTTTAACGGGACCGATTTCTGGAACATTCGGGACTGCGGCACCCTGCGGCCAGACCGAGATTTGGGTCTGCGCAAGCGACGATGGGTGGTCCGATGGGCTTCAGGACTTGATGGCGTAACCCCCTTCTTCCCCCACGTACGTATTTGTTGGGATCGGGGGCGATGTCTCTGCGTATGTGGGTGCTCTGTCTTTCTCACCTTCTTTCTCGCTTTTTGCTATTTTTTCTCTGAGAGAGGGTTTTTTGTTTTTGTTTTTTTTTTCCACTTTAATTTCTTTTCTCTTAGTGTCAGCTGCTCAAGCCTGACCGGGGTAGAGGAGAGAGGAGCAAGCTGTCCCTGGCGTCCCACCTGACCTCCCAGCCTTTGCCCCCATTTCCTTCTATTGGACAGACAGACAGACTGGTTTTCCAGGTTGTTTGGGTGTCAGCGTCTGTCTGTCCGTCCATGCGATTCTTAGGTGGAAGGAAGGTAGGGAGTGGGGAGGAGAGGTGCTGGGAGGAAAGTGAAAGGCACAGTTTTCCAGGGGTTGCCTGATTGAAATGTTCGGCCCCAGGCACCTGGGGTTGGTGGGGAGCAGGTGGGCAGGATGGGGCGTGGGTTGGGAGAAGTGGGGTAAAGCTGCTAGGTTTGTCACTGCGTAGTTGGGAAAAGTGGGGAATGGTGACGCAGTCACTGTTGCATCTTGTTAGGAGCTCCATGGGGACAGGTAGTGAGGCTCCCGGCATCTGTAGGGCCAGCTGAGAGGGGTTAAGGATGAGCTGAGGAGGGAAGCGAGCATTTAGAGATTAAATGTCATCCTTTTGGCGTTGGAAAGTTGTTTACCTTGCGCTCTCTGTGTCTCCATGTTGGCACCCTTCCAGTTCACATGTGATGGCCTTCCTTGTACTGCTGCATCATTAACTAAGTGACTGAGCTGGCCTTCCATTGGCCAGGGGAGGGCTCTCACTCCAGACCTTTCTTCTGATTGGTGGGTGGGCCAATGGCAGGTGAAAACCTTTTTTTGATTGGCTGAGGGCAGGGTATCAAATCTGAATTTGCATTTCACTTGCTTAAAGGGGAGGGGGGGAGAAGCCCAGCGGCTTTCTAAAATCTGTTGAGGGGTGTGCGTATGCCCCTGTGTCCGTGCCTGCTTTTGACTGACCAGTTGAAGCCTCTTCCTATGCCTTTTTTATTTCATGCACTCTAAGGAAGAGGAGCTCAGTGTTCCCCAAACTTTCTTTTGAAGGAGGAAGGGCTGGAGAGATGGGTGCGCAGAGAGTCGACCAAACTGGAAGGAAATATCTGTCCTTTAGTTTGGTGTCGGAAAAGGGAGTTTTCAGTCTGCCACACCTCAGTGTTGCGGCAAAATAATTCTTGGCTCCCCTGGAAACGCACGGGCAAGGTAGGACGGAGGTGCTGCGGCTGACAACCACCACCACCATGGGCTTCCTGCTGCCTCTGGGCTACTCCCCGGGGGCCAGAGATTTGCATTGACGGGGCTGTCCAGAGCTGAGCCCAGTGTAGGAAGGACCTGCCTTCTGGAAGCTGCTGCTCCTTGGTGCTGGGAAAGGTGAGGACGGGAACTGACCCCAGGAGGTTGCTCGGAAACTGCGTATTTGGTGGGATTTCCAGGAAAGCCACTGGGCCACGAGAGGTGTGGAGGTCCCAGGTTAGAAAGGTTTGTCGTTCTGGGGAGTGAGGAGAGTGAGAGCAAAACTAGGGCAGCAGGCTGTTCGCCTGTGGCTGGGGGAGGGAGACTTGGAAAAATCAGGGTCCTGGCTCCCCATCGGGTCCTTGTGGCAGGTCTCGTGTTTGTGGGGAGGGGGTTTCTGAGCCCTGCGCCTTGCGCAGTGGCCCCCACCCGTGACTGCGCATCCGGGAACGCAATGCGCCCTGGGTCGCCGGCCTAGGACAGCACCGCCCTTCTTATTACATAACGGAGGCACGTCTGTGCCTTCTCGGCCCTTCTTTGCAACCCTGCCTCCTGGCTCCCCAGGGCCCACGGAGCTGGGGAGGGTCTGGTTGGGAGCAGTGGAAGACTTGGCTCCCTCGGAGGGTTAGCTCCTGTCCGGTCAGTGGTAGGAGCTAGGTTTGAACACAGAAATGGGCTGCTGTCCCCCTTGGGGTATGGAACGCAGAATGTCCTTCTGGATGCCCTGTGTCACCCATGGCCCCCCAGGACTTCTCGGGGGCATGGGGTGATGCCCTTCTTTCCCTCTTACGCTCTCTGGGTTTTGAGAGGAAGTTTCTGATGGGAAAGACATGACAATTGTAAGAGTGAGGAAGGGTGGGGTGGGGGGCGCCCAGTTGGGAGGTGGTTGACAGTTCATTCCCCTTGTCACTGGCTTCCCTTTCCCTGGGTGGGTTGATAATATTTTTGGACTCCCTTTTATCCTAAGGCTGCCATTTTGGAGGCATTTCTGCTGGTCTCTGACATGGTGGCGTTGGTTTTTCTGGTCCTGCTGTGCCAGTTCCGCAGAGTGGGCGGGGGGCGGGGGCTATGACGGAGGAGGGGAAGGGGGGGCAAAAGCGCAGCAGAGGCGGGTACGGTGGCAGCTGCCGCAGTGAAGGTGGCCCCAGGGGCAGGACCGCCCAGTCCCACCCTCGGACACAGCCTTGGGTGGGGGTTCCACCGCCTGGGGTGTGGGCTTGGCCAGAAGGTGGGCGTTGCTAACAGAAGGCCTGGGTCTCCCATGCCTTCCTCGGCTCGAGGCTTAAAGCAGTCCAGAGAAAAAGCTTGAGTTTTTCGGGGGGAGAGTGAAGGCAGAGACACGGCTGCTCATCTGAGATGTGTCGGACCTGTGGTTTGTGTTCCCCAAATAGGCTCTGTCTCCGGCAGTCTCTCTATGGGGATGGAGGGGGGGGTGGGGTCCAAGGCAGATTTGTTCGATGGCCCTCCCTTTTTATTGTTTTTATTCTCTGCTCCTCGTCATGCCCCCTGCCAGTGCCATGGTTCCAGCTGTAGTCCTCCAGTGAGGCTCCCTGCTGCCCGTCCCTCTCCTCTCCAGGCCCTTCTGCGTGCAGCGGCCATCTTGTCTTTTCTTGCTTAGAGATTTAAAATGGTTTCTCATCGTTTCCAGAGTAAAATCCCTTCCCTTTAGCACAGTGCCGAAGGCTGGCTATAACCAGCCTTAGCTCTCCTACTCAGTCTGACTTCTCTGCGTTTCCCCAGGTGGACCACGTATTCCAGCAAAACCAGGCAACTTACTTTTTCTTGCTTTTCCGATCTCCCTGTTTGCACCACTGGTATTTTCCATGACTCTTTGGCTCTACCGCACCCACCTGCGGCAGCCCTGCCGTCCTCCGTGGGCCTTTGCGGATCCCCTTCACGAGAAGCAATCCTCGTAACCGCCCCTTGCTCCCTCTGGCCAAAGTCTCATACACTTCATCCTTCTCGGATGCTACTTTGGTTATCTTCTGGCTCTTTGTGTGTGTAAGTCGTAAGTCACCTATTAGATGAAGAGCTCCAAGAAGCCGGGGAACAAAGAAGGAAAACACTTACCTATTTGGTGCCTTCTGTTTACCAGGTACCACGTCAGGCTCTTTCTCGGAGCTTATTTCATGTATTGCTTTACCGCAACGCTGCGAGGAGAATCCCATGGCTGGTAAGTGTTCTGCTCATGATTAGAACCCTTATTCTCCCAAAGCCTTTGCATTTTTTTACCTGTCCGTTCTCAGTGTCTGCAAAATGCCTCTTACAAAGTAGACCCCCAAAACGTGTCTATTTAAGGAATTTTGTATATCCGTGATACTGTATGGGGGTTTGGGTGGCCGACGTTCCTGCGCCCGAGGTCCAGGTCTCTTAGTCATTCTGTGCTACCCTCCCTGTTACCTCATTAACTTTCTCCTCTTCTTTGCGGTCAGGTTCACGCAAGATGATCGCTTTTTTTTTTTTTTGTAGCTGCAATTGGTGGATTAACAAACCTCAGTCATCCTGGTCACCTTCCTCCTAGAGGAGGAGGTGGAGATGGGATGGTTGTAGCACCTTCAGAGCAGAATGAGCTCCAGAACCCAGAATCACTGGAGCTCATAGAAGGCAGGGAGCAGAGCCTCCGTTTGCATCTTGACCCTGCCTCGTCTTGCTGGGTGGTTTCTCTAAGGCTTCGTGATCTCAGTCAGTGACATGGAGCCACCGTAATCTACTACACAGAAATGCCTAATATATTGCTAAGCAGATAGGATCCCTGCAGAAACTGAAGCACCTCCCTTTCCCCTGCCCAGCTGTCTTATCGGGCCCTTAAGAAGGGAACATAGCAGGTGGCTGGAGAAGGAATGGGGGGGAAGGGAGCTTGCGTGCCTTCAGTGATATCGGAAACAGAGGCAGAGGAAGAGGTAACCAGGCAGTACGCACCTGAAGCCTGCGAGGGGACGCCTTTCCCCCACCCGGAGTAAAGACCCCTTTAACGTCTGCGTCAGGGAAACGCCGTGGGAGCGGAGCCGTGAGGCCAGGGCAGGCGGTGGCAGGGTGAGGGTTAACCAGTGGTCCTTCCTGGGAGCCTTGTGATGCCAGCTTAGTTTCCCTTCTTTCTGAACGGCAGTGGTGGCCGCCTGCTTCCTGACGCCGTTGCATCCCGTGGGAGGGGAGTTGGGCACCCTGAAGCCCCTCGTCACCAGTTCTGGGCTGCAGAACAGAGAGTGACGACAGCCCATGAGTCGTCAGCCGACGGCAGTGGGGACCCTGGTGACGGCTGCTTTGTTGTTTTTTTCCTCTTTGGATGATGACTCAGTATGTCGGGAGCTGGGAGATGGAGCGCTCAGCCGAGTGGCCAGGACGTTCTGTCAACATGAAAGCAGCAAAAACAGCTTGTCAGGGCTTGGAGCTGACCCTGGGGCTGGGGTCATTTTCAGGAAGGGCTTGGCAGAGAAGACCACTTCTGGGCATCGGGTGGGGGTGACACCAGGTATCCCAACGGGGCTCCGTGGACTCTTGAATTTTAGAAACCAAACAGAACGCACAGCTGCTTGTGTTATTACTATTACGCGCTTGGCAAACAGAGCCACTTTTCAAGCTCCTCTCACCCGTCCCCAACAAGAGGCATCTTCTCGGGGCCAGAAAACCCTCTGGGATTTCTCACCGTGGCCTGTTGCCTTGGATGGGTGAGTCCCATGTCGGGTGGGGTGGGCCTGGCAGTCTTTGGCGAACCCCGGCATTCCGGGGCCCTGGGAGTGAGTGCCCATCATGGGGATGTGGCATCTCAGGTGTCCTCTTCTGGCATCATGTGAAAATGGTGCGTCCACCCCACCAGCCTCGAGCTGAAGGCCAGCTCTTGGGCAGCCTGATTGAGCCTCCCCTTCCCTTATTGCCCAACTTCTCTTCTCCCCGTTCATCTTCCTCCGTTCCTTCTCAGGAGAAACGGTGGGCCTCGCGTCCTTGACCGTTGCGCATGTATGTATGCGTCATCATGGCGGCTCCGGATTCTAGGCTTTTCTTGAAGCTGCAGCATTGCGCCACGTGCGCGTGACCTTCCCCCCTTGCCCCGCCCGCCCGGCCCCGCCCAACCAGGCCCAGCCGGGCCCAGCCGTGCCTTCTCGGGAGCAGGAGAGACCTGGACCGCCATCGCCACCAAATCGCAGGCAAGCCATTCTCCTCAGCACCTGGCTTCCCTTCTCTCCTGCTCTCTCTCCCTCGGCCATGGCTGAGCACAGAGAAGCAAACAACCTGTGGGTGGGGACTGAGGGACGGCCCGGCCTGGGACCACCCGACCTCCGTACCCCTTGTGCCAGTTTTCGGGCTCGTGCTTTCCTATAGATGATGCTTAGCGCTGGCATTTGTCACTGAGCACCTCCTCCTCTCCCCAAGCACCTCCCGGCATGACTCCTTTGGGATCTTTACGGGGAGTGGTTCTGGGGCCTTGGGAACCAGAGGGAGCAGGGGGACCTGGCCGAGGTCACAGTGGAGAGGAGCGCAGGGCAAAGGACAGGAACCAGCTGTCCCTGCCCAGAGCGCAGAGGCAGCCCCAGCCCCTTTGAGTCATGTCTTTTTGAGCCTGAATAAGAGCAACTTGACCTAAAAAAAATTGTATGTATGTGGATGTTAGATCCTTTGTGTCTTTGTCCAGAAGCTGTGCGTATGATGAGGGCCCAGATCCTGTACTTCAGAGAGCTCTGTTGTCTCTCAGATTTGTTTTCCAAAAGAGGTGGTAGGCCCTCCTTGATGAGGCCCAGTGCCCACTGGGCCTGGCCTTCCTTCAGGACAAGGGGCCCAGCCTTGTCTTGTTTCTGCCATTGGCGGGTGAGCAGCAGTTGAGGGCCTTGGTCCCAGGGCCACATATTAGCCCCAATCGAGACCCTCATCGGGGCCTGCGCAATTCATTGCTTGGTTGGTTGGCCCTGAGAGCCGAGCCTCCTGTCTTTTTTTCGCTTCTTCCCCACAGAGAACTCAGAGGAGTTGAGCTCCGTCAGTAGGTGACAGCGTCATGGAGACTCAGGCGGCCAAGCTGAGGACGGAGCTGGTGTGCAGAAGACAGCCATCATGTGGCCGAATAGAATGGCCCGTTTGCATTTATTTGGAACAAAAAAAAGGAGATGCGTGTCAGCCTGGCTCTCTGCAGTAAGTATTCATCTGACTTCTCTTATTCCTTCAAACATCGGGAGCGATAGATGTTTATTGAACCCGCCCAGCGGCTGTGCCTTCCCCTTCCTTTCCCTGCAGACCCCTGCCCCTGGTCCTCCATCAGAGAGGACGAGATCAGTTTCCTAGTGCTGGTGGAGAGCTGCGGAGAGGCTAGATCTCGGCGTTTCACCCCCGCACGTCACCCTCACATTCAGGAGAAGTCGATTTTCCCTAAAATGGAGCCAAAAGCCCATGTCCCTCAGTGCAGTGTTATTAATGGGCCGACAGGAAGGGCCTGCTTGCCCTCACTGCCCCCAGCAGGAAGGTGAGGCTCTCAGCTGGCTGGCTGGGGGAGGACGATCCTTGCCAGCATCTAGTGTGGTTCTCTGCCAAGTTCTAGCTCCAAATCTCTAGGCCGCTAGGAACCTAGGCTATATATAGCATTGTGCTAAGCAGTTCTTATCGGACATGTCTGCCCTCCCCTGCAGGAGAGGAGCCCTTCTCCCAGGGAACCGGAACCTTGAGAGTGTGAGCCACCATCTCCAGGGGGCCTTCCATTCCAGGAAGGGCTGTGTGTCTGTGTCTGGTTCCGGAATGCCAAGTTTTCTTTCCTTTTCCTTCTTTCAGACGCTGATAGATTGGAAGGTCTGATGTGGGATGAGGGCCAGGAGGGGCTGATGGTTCTCCATGGATCTGGGGGCTTGGAGGAGGACAGGCTAGAGGCTGGAAATGTGGCCGGCGGCACGGCGTGCCTTGTGTCACCCACCAGCCTCCCGCGTGTCTTCTTGGTTTCCTGTTTGCCTTGCTTTGCTCATGGATGTCTTCTGACCTCTTGCGCTTCTTCTGGACCTCTTGTCTTCCCTGCCCTCCTCTACCTCTTCCTCCTCCTTCCTTTGATTTTTGTTCGGCTCTGTGACGGCCGCGGTGCTGAGGGCATCCGGGAACTGTCTGCTCTCCGCCCTCACCGGCCGTCGGGGTTTCGGGGAAATCTGCCTTTAGTCAGCTGTCCTCGGGGGGAGTTGGGTGGTGACTGTGCATGTCGTGCTGGGTGGTAGAGGGCAGAACGGGCTGGATATTTGCCTCCTCCTCCCCTCGTAGGTGCTGTGCAGCCACCAGGGTCTGTGGTTCTGTGACCCTGAGTGCCGACCGATGGGGACACGATCCAGTCTTGTCAGTGAATCATCTTCAGGCTGCTTATTGGAAACCAGATGGTGAGAGAAAATGGGGTGTAACCCATGCCTCCCAGGTGAGTCAGGTTTGGGCCCCCTCTTCTGGCCTTCCCCTAGCCCCCTTCCCTTCTCGTGGCAACCGTTTTCCTTAGTAGGGAATCCTCAAACATCTCCATTCAGAATCTCCCAAACAATGCCCTCTTCTTTCCATTCTCCCACTCCTGGCTTTTCTGTGAATGGGGTTAGTAACCAGCAAGGGCCTGGGGGCAGGGCCAGCCCAAGTGATCCACCGGCTTGTGGGAGATGGCTGGGATGCGTTGCTGGGTGTGGCAGTCGGCGGAGCAGTTGGGCCTCCCACGGTGACTGGTCTGGAACTCTCCTTGGCCCCCAACATCCAGCGTGAGGGTCTGGGTTAGAGCCCCTTAGGTGCCACACGGGCCTGCGGGCGTTCCTTTCCTTGTGTATCCCAGTGGATGTTCGCTCTTACTCTAGATACCTTTAGACTCGCTGGAGTTTAGAGTATGGACTCGGTGGTGGACTTCAGGGCTCTTGCTCTACTTGGGGCGGGGGGTTGTTCTGGGTTTTTTTTTGTTTGTTTGAGTGAATCCTTCTCTTCCTCTAGGCCCTCATTGCCTTCACCTTAAAAAAAAAAAATTCTGGGCCTAGTAAGCATTGCCAAGCATCTCTAGGCAGTTGACGTAGAAATCTTTTTTCTCTGCCTCACTTGATGCTGGTCACAGTAATAGCAACAGTGATTTAAAATGATGGTGGTCGGCAGAACTGGGGAGATCTGTCGCATTCTAGAGACAACTCAGGAAGCAGACGGTAGGCACTTGCCATGCTCCCTACCGGGAAATCTCTCCTATGGAATGCATTCCTGTAATGTTCTGGGCGAGCAGGGTCAGGTTGGAATTAGCCGACAGCAGATTTGTCTGGGGTCTCGAGATCAAAGAGATGGTGCTGGGCAGTTTTATGATGGCGCTTGGCTAATTTCCAGAGGCACCCGTGGGATCCCACCTCTGCTGCTTGTCTCATGAATGTCTCCCCACCCCCTTCCCACCGCTGTCCGGGAAGGACTGGTGAATTCTGCCTGTCGGTGTTTGATCTTCTCTTCTCTCCATCTGAGATGTGTTTCTGAATTGGCTGTGAGCAGCCTGAGGTCCTCACCGAGTGAGGCATCCAGGGCTGTTGGGAAGAGTCCAGTGTCTCTGTTGGGAAGAGGCCAGTGTCTCTTCCCTAAAGGAATTTGACAAGTCTCAGCCCCTCCAGTAGTGAGGTAGGGAGGATGGCTAGGGGTATGGGACCTGGAACACGAATAAAGAGGAGAGATCAGCTTTGGTGCAGCTGGGGAGATGAGGAGGAGCCGGCCAAGTCCCTCAAGATGTGTCGGCTAGAGTCTGTCCAGCGCCGGCTGCAGGGCTGGGGCCAGATGGGGCCGCAGCCATGCTCGGGAGCCCTCTGCTGCTGTATGTGCGGTGCAGCCCTGGGCCTGGCTTGGGGTCATGGCCGCTCCTATTCACAGCCCTGCCCTGCCCTTGGCGGCATTGAGATAACCAGAGTGGGAAGCAAAGGGAAAGTTGGTTTGGCTCCCTGTGACGCAGTTTTCTCTGGGGCCTCTGGTATTTCCAGAATTGGGGGTGGACGCTTCCCCGTTGATTTTCCTATTTTCGTTCCTCATTTAGTTCTTTCCTCCCTGCTTACCAGCGTGGCTTCCATTGACCTGACACGGGCATTATGTGTCACAAGCCAAACCAGGAGAACAGTTGGCATCCCCTGAGAGGGGGACCAGGCTTATCTGGCACTTGGTTCTCAACCTCTGCAGCCCTGCAGTCTGGGAGCCAGGAGGCAGTGTGGGGCCTTTCCGTCTGGGGTCCAGCAGAGGTGAACAGAGCTGGTGGCCCTGGAGCCGTGGTGGTGTGGCTTGGCCAGGAGGCGTTGGGGAGGGGCCCTGCCAAGGGACCTGATTGGTCAGCACCTTCTCTGTTCCACTGGATCCTGGTCTGGTCAGGGCTGTGAGTTGTTTAATGCATATCTTGGCTCTGTCCCCTGGCACAAGGGCCTCTGAAGCTGCAGCCCCGGCTTTAGAGAGGATGTGTACCTCGTGCTGGTCACTGTTTTGGGCACGTTGCCTCCCTGTGAGATATGTGCGAGATACTGCCTTTTCCACTAGCCGGCTGTCCGTGGGAGGCCCTCATTTTGCTTTGCTTTTCTGGGCCTTGGAGTGTCTGTGAAGAAAGCAGAGGCTGGGTTTGGTTTCTTGCTGCCTCCTTCTTCAGGAGCTGCTCATAAGCTGATAAAGCCAGAGAACACCTCCAGGCCCCAAGGTCTGAGCAGACCTGATGCAGCAGTGTAGAGCCTGGGCAGGAAGGAGTGGGGGCCTGGGGATGGTTGTGCACCGTCTGACCACAGGATCGAGGCCAGGAGGTCGAGGGTGGGGAGGATGTGTCTCGTGTTCAACCAGCGTGGCCTGCTGCGGCCTGGAAGGGGCTGTGTGTGCGCGGACCCCAGCTCAGGGTCCGTAATGAGGCATGAGGGTGTGAGACGGGCATCAGGTTCTCGGTCCCAGCGCACCGTTCCAGGGAAGGGAAACTGACCTTTGTTAAGGGTCTCCCTTTGCTTATCTGATTTCATCCTCAGAGCAGCTGCATGAAGTAGGTGTGACTTCCCTTCTCCGGTTAGAGAAACGGTCCATACTAAGTCACTTCACCAAGCTCACACACTTGGCCAGTGGGATAGCCGAGATTTAAACCCGGGCACTTCTGATTCCAAAGCCTGGACTTTTTCTTCACCCTCTTGGGCCGAAGTCAGACATTTTGGGGAGCTAAGACCGTCCGAGATTAGGCAGCCGGCAGAACGGATGGTAACTGAGTGAAAGGCCAGGTATCTTGGGGACCGTGGCGGTCGGCGGGGACGGCTGTGCCACTTCCCTCTCTGGGGAGGCCGGGCAGATGCAGATGGCCCTTGGTGCCTGAGAACAGGCAGGGCTGAGCGTGGCAAATACAGCCCTTCTCCAAACCCCCATTCAGCCCCTCAGTCTGCCAGGGATTGTACGAGGTGCCAGGGATGCAGGGCTCAACAAAACCGAGTTTCTGCTCTCGTGAGGTGTACTTTCTGGCATGGGGAGAGGTCACTCATGATGATGACAAAGGGAATTGGGAAATAGGTAAAGTAGACTTAGCTGGAAAGGGGGACACCCACACACATAAGAAGGACCCAGGGACCCAAGGAGGGAATTTGAGACTGGGGAAGCCATACTCATAGAGCCCCCAGAGTTCACAGTGATAGAGTTGCTAACCCCTCTCTTCTCCTAAGAGCTAGAAACTCACCCAAGGCCCCCACAGCTTACAAGAACTTGCAGTGAGTCAGGGATCAAGCTGACGGTAGACATCAAACCTCTGGTCACCAGCAGATGAAGGTGTTTCCGTCAGCTGCCCTCCCCAGGTACCAGCTGGCGTCTCTGCCTCAGCCTCGTCACTGTGCCCCTCTCTCGTCCACACAGACAGGGGAACACTTGGCTTAAGTCTTCACCAAGTCACTGGTCAAGTCGGTGCCTGCCGGAGGCGGAAGTCAGCTTAGCCTCTCCTGCCCGAGCATGGGGTTCCAACATCCTCGCGACAGAGAAGGGACAGGGGGCAGGAGAGGGAGGAGAAGTCCCCGTGTGCTAGAGGCTTGGATGAGTTGGGTGTCTTGCAAGGCTGAGGCAGGTTGGTGGCTGGAGGTGTTTCCGGTGTGTGGAGGGGATGTTTCCAGTGTGTGTGGCTGCTGGGCTCAGGACTTCTTTACCGGGTAGAAGCAGGGCTCGTGGTGAGTCTAGCCACGTGATTCTTCCTTCTTTGGTCCCGTAGTCAAAGCCTGGCCCACCTGGACCTCAGAGACTGCCACCTGCTGCTAGGGGGCGGGGGGGCTAATGTCGCACAAGGATGAGGTCTGCCTCTTGGGGTGTGGTTGTGGGGGCTCAGGGAAAGTGGGCCTTATGTGGCATGGTGGAGAAGACTTAGCAGACCCGCATTCTGGCCCCGGCTTCCTTGGTAAAATCTTACTCACTTTACCTCTTTGGGACTTAGTTTCATTGTTTATATAATGAGGGAGTTGAACCAGAATCTTTCTGAAGGTGCCTGCCAACTCTGACCTGGGGCTCCCTGGGTGTTCATGGAGGTATTTCTTTGGCAGAAGACTGAGAACAGCTACAGTCCTGTTTTCTGAAGAGATGTTGTCACCATCAATGAGGGCAGGTGGATGGAGACAGTTTTCCAGGGACCCCCCGGTTGCAAGCGGGAAGGGGCCAGAGATTGCATGAAGGTGGCTGATGAAGGTCATCCAGGTGACCGAGGATGTGAACTCTAGCTCCCACCCAGGGGCTTGTTTGGAGACAGGCTGTGTGGGAGCTGCCAGGGGACTGTCTGTTCCACAGGGCCTGACTTGAGATGCCACCGTGCTCTAGGGAAGAAGTTCTGTCCTTTCTGGCCCTACATCCTGGAGAGAACATAGGACTGCAGGTCAGGTATCCCAGCCTTCCCTGTTTAGGTTCTGTGCCCCTTGCTGTGAGGAAGTTTTCCTTTATATTTATCCATTTTTTCTCATGTGGTTGTTGAAGTCCTTCTATTTAAAAAAAAAAGGGGGGGTGAAAAAGATGGGCGAAAAGAAAAAAAAAATCTCCAAGCCACCCATTCCATCTTGGCTTTTTAGTCTTGAGTCGTTCTTTAAAAGGTAGCAAAAATAAAGCACATGCAGCAAGCCCAAGGTCCCAGACCCTCAGAGGCCAGTCTGGGGCTGTGGTGGCCTCCTTCCCCAGGGGCCAGCACTCCTCCAAGGCTGCGCGGGGCCAGGGGGGGCGGTATCTGGGGCCACAGCACCCGCCGCACAATCCGCCAAACAGAATGCCGAGTTTTAAAATTAGCATTTCTTCAAGACACTTTCCGCGTGCCACTTTGCTGCACTCTTACCTGGGCCTCATAGCTGTGAGCCCACCCCCTCTTGCCCCCAGAGTGATGTGGCAGATAGGGCTTTGGGCCAGAATTCAGGCAGGAGCCCAAGTGATTGGTGACCAACATCTTGTGCATGCCACACAATGTTCTGCAGCTCTTTTCAGATTTGCTAGCTCATTTGATCCTCACAGTGCCTGCGAGGGTAGGTGGTGGGTCCCCACAGTCGTTGAAACTGACTCACGGACAGCCTTGCCAAGATCCACTTGCTTGTACTTGCTGAGTTGCGGTCACCCACCCAGGTCCCCCAACTCCAGATATCATTTCTTTGGGTTTTAGTTGTTGTTCAACTGACCAGTGGGGCAGGGCAGGGACAGGGAGCGGGTCTTGGGCAGCTGACTTTATCTCTGTAGGTCGCAGATCTCTTTTCTACACACTGAATGGGGAAGGGAGCTTCAGAAGGTCCAGGTTCTCCTATTCTCACATGCTTTCGGCTTCTTGGAGCTCTTATGAAACCTGGCCTGCACTCCTTGGCCAGGAAGCCAGCCATTCACCATGTGTTTCTGGTGAGACTTCCTACATTTGGAAGCTTCTGGAATTATGCAGTGCTTCTCAACCATTCCGACACATATGTAGGGCACTTCGTGCATGTACATATAGTCCTGTTTCTACCAAGTAGCTACTTAGAAGTGAGGCTTCCTTGTGGGATCTGTGAGATTTTTTTCCCAGCAGATTGATAAGGTAGGCCCAGAGCTTTGCCTAGCATGTGTGTTGTGTGGATGTTACCTATTTGCTGGCTCATTAACGTATAGCCACCCCACCCCACCCCCCGGAAGAACTGGCTAACGGGCAGTGCGAGATATTGGAAGCGCTGGCTTCAGCTCTGGATATTGCTTCCTGATAGAGTTGAAAAAGTAGGCCTTTCCCATGGAGAGGAAGATAAGTCAGAGAACGCCTAGGCGTCAGTGTTCCCCGGATCCTGAGTGTAAGCCCACTCTTTATGAGGAGGGTCAAGGCACAGCTCAGACTGCACATTGTCTTGTCCGTGCGGCCCTCTGAGTGGCCTTTATTCAGAGAGACCCAGAGCCTGTATGAAGGGGCATAGAATGTTCGTCTTTATTTAGAGCACACTAACACATGTTGGTTTAGGCTCTCCCAGGGCATGGATCTTGAAGGTTTGGGGTTGGACAGAGTGGCAGCATACGTATGTCTGTCTGTCTGTATTCCCCGGTTGCAGGCTTGGCTCACAGAGAAGCCCTGTCATGGGGAATCCACAGGGCAGTTGTTTTGCTGGACAAAGCTTTTGATGACTTTTGTGTGAAGATTTGTCATATGGCACCCAGATCTTTGTTTTCCCGGAGGATGGGAAGGAGGATGGCAGAACCCAAAGCTGGGAGATGATTTAGGCCAGACTTCAGGGAGAACTGTGGTGGCCCTTTGCTGAGGGCTCCCAGAGAAACACAGAGCCTCTTTATCTGACAAGAGGGACTGGATGTCCCTGACAAGGTCCCTCCCATCCCGAGTCTGTGGGACTCTGAGACCGTCCCTGGAACAGCACGAGCTTTGGGTGCCAGGACCTAAAGCGGGCTCTGTCTTTTCTTTCTGCCTCGGAGGCAAGCCTGACCTGGGTGGGGGCACAGGAGCATCGGGCCTGGAGCTCTAGCCTTGTTTCCTCGTGCAGAGAGAACTTCTGGAACTGACTCTCTAGGATTGATAGTATTTGTAAATAAAAAAGAGGAGAAAGCGACGTTGTCCCCCATCGCTGTCCGGAAAGAGCCCTGAGCTGCTCTAATCCTGTATTTGAATCACCACCATCACCCACCCATTCTGATGCCCCCTAGCCCTACGGAGCTCCGAGAGGCCCTGGAGATGTGAAGGAGGTGGTGGCTGAGCCAGGAGGCAGGGACAGACGGGGTTGTCTGGGAAGAGGTTCGGAGATGGAAGAGGACTATCTCAGGGCAGGTCCACAGCTCTGGGACCCCTGGCACTGCCTGCTGTACCAAAGGCACGTGTGTGCTCCCATGGGCATACTATTCATTGGGAACCCCAGAGTCTGAAATAAACCGGTTAATGGCTGAATGAGGGTTGCTTTCACGTGGAGAGTCATATATCCTTTGTGTTGTTGTTCCTTTCTGCAGATGTAGCGTCTGAAGGCCTGACAGGTTGGGGACCTTACCCTGGGCCCTCCCGTCTGTAAGGTTGTGCTTATTTTGTGGTGCTTTTCTGTCCCCTCTCTTTTCTCTTTCCCACTCTCACACAGTCCTTAGGAACACGTGACTATTTGTCCACGCACTTGTGTTCCTATCTCCTTGGGGTACCGTTCTTCCAGGGTCTCTGACATCATTGAACGTATTACTTTTATTTCAAATGTGAACAGACCACAGGCTCACTGCAGAGCAGAGGCCCCCAGAAACCGCCTCTCCACCTCATCCTCGAGCGGGTCATCCAGAGCCCCGGGGAGAGGAGATCAAGGGTATCTCTGCTGGGCCCAGCTCGGCCCCACATCATGTCACCTATTGGGGGTAGGGGTGGCTCAGGCATGAATCCCCCACCCCCAGCACTATTAGTGCTTTCTTTTTTTCAGCTTGAACCCCGAGTAGTGGCCTTGAAGGTCTGAGACCACATGTCACCCTGCTAGGTGAGGATGACAGAGAGGGACAGGGACAGAGGGGACGGGAGTCCGTGCTCCTGGCCACTGGCCTCTCTCCAAGACAGGTGAACTCTGTGTCCAGAGAGGAACTCATTTAATCTTTTGGCCCTAATGAAAGTTGTTTGTGTTTTCTCTCCCTCGCTCTTCTCCCTCCTCTCTCTCCCTCAACGCCCCCGCCTCCACCCTCCAGCCTCCAAAAGAATTTAATCTGCTGGACAACAAACAATACTGTTATAAAACTTTGAAAACAAGAGGGTGAGGCCTCCCTGACAAGGAGAAGGGCATGCCGGGTAACAGCTGGCGGAGCCTGCCAGGCCCAGGACGGAGCCGGGCGAGGGCCCAGTTGGCCGGGTACCTGGGCGCCTGCCCCTGCCCAGCCCACCAGCCGAGCCATCCCCAGTCCAGAGGGGAAGGAACCGAAACAAAAGCAGGGGCAGAGAAGCTCCCGAAAAGGGGAAGTTGTATGTGTTCCCCTCTCTCTGATCTGATGGGAGTGTGCTAGACTGTGAAACTTCCTCTCCCCCTCCCCCCACCTTCCTCCCCCTTTATCCTCCCTCTGCCTGCCTCCTCCCACCACTCTCTGTTCCAGGTCCTGAGACTGGCAGGCCAGGCCCCAGTAACAGAACCAGGCAGGCCTAGCCCTTCAGGTGCAGCCCCCAGGCGGCCAGCTGCATGGGAGGCAGGCGGGAAAGGTGCCCCGGGCTGGCTTTGGACTCTGGACATACCCTCTGTGTGCCCAGCCTTCCCGCCCCCGACTAGGAAAGTGGAACCATGTCATGGGCTGTGCCCCGGTCTGCGTGCTTCACCAGCTGCGTGCCCCCATATCGGGGAGAGCCACCACTCGGGGCTTCGTCGGTCTGCCCCCAGCATGCTGGTGCCTGTGGGGGCCCTGCTGTCCCTCCAGCAGGAGCGGGGGCTGAGCTGTGGTGCCCCCGAGCCTCAGAGACATGCTTCCCGCGGCAGGCAGACACAGGGTCCTGTGAGTGGGGGCCCTGGTGGGGTACTGCATCTGCTAGGTACTCTTGGTCATTGAAGGAGTGGGTGATTCCAGCCTTCCCGGTTAGATTTCACCTGAGACTGAAGGTTCACGGCCACATCCGTCTTCACCACACGGAGCATGTGGTTTGGGGAGTGATGAGGGGGAAGGAGCAGTGGTCTGCCTTTGCTTGGAGGTTGTTTGGACCTGTGAACTGGGTGGTGGGCATTGTGATTGTGTAATGGGCTGTGGGCCTGCTCACTTCTCCTCTTGGGGGAGGCAGTTCAGGGCTGGGCCCAACCTCCTCTGCTAGAGCTAAGCCACTCTCTGGGGAAACGGGGGGCCCCCCATGCTCCCATCTCCACTCCGTCACTCATCCTTCTCTGTGCTCCCCCTGTCTCCTGCTGCCCCCCACCCCCATCTCCTGCTGCCCCCCACCCCCGTCTCCTGCTGCCCCCCACACCGCACAGCTTCCCAAGGCATCCCGTCCTCCCAGCCAGGCAGCCATTCCAACCCTGTACTGAATCTGGGAGATTTCCAGATGCTGGTCTTCATCCGTGGTGTCAAGGAAGGGACCGAGAACCGAACTTTGTGGAGAGCGGCTGCCTGGGTAGTTAGGCCTCTGTACGCCTGCCCCAGGGAAAACCAGAGCTGCTAATGCTGGGTCCATGTGAGCGGAGAAGGCTGTGATCTCTCGCCCTGTTACTTCCACAGGCATTCGAGGGGCGCAGTGGGTCTTGAGTATGTTATTCCCACTTCAGGATCCAGCGTCTGGGAAGCGCACTGATCCCTGGATGCTGAGCCCCTTTTGGGGGGGGCGGGATGGGGGGAGGCGAGCGGCCAGGAAAAGAGCCAACTCCATGTTCTCCTCCCCGGCCCCCCATACACATACCCTTCATTTTATCACCCTTTCCTCTGATTCATTAACCACAGCTAGTTGGCACCAGGCCCCACCCTGACAGCTCAAGACAAAATGTCCAGGACACTGTGTCTGGCCTGGGGCCGAGTGACAGGAAGCTGGGCCGGGCCTCTCTGTGTGCACATACAATGGGCTAGGGCCGTCTGGGGGGCAGAACCGTCCCTGTGTTCAAAAAGGTCTTCCCCAGGCCTCTCTCTCCCCAAGGTGACTCTTCCCCCACTTGCCAGGGGCCTCGAAACCAGGTGACAGGGAGACCTCCGAGCCCGGCGCCCCTCCCCCGCGTCAGTCATGTAAGTAGCCGGGACTCAGCACCCAGCCCCGGCGGGAGGGAGAAGCTGCTGCCTCGCGGGAACTTTCCAGCGCTCTGGATCTGAACACGTCGTGGTAGCACAGAACGAGGCGGCAGCATCAGCTTCCTGGGGCTTTGTGTCTCTTGGCTCCATGGGTTTGCTTATGGACCTCATAAACCAGGATTCCTCCTCTCCTCCCCGCTTTCCTCCCATGTTATTTTGTGGGCACCAGGCCTGGCATGGGATTTTTAGGACTTTAAAAGACACAGACAGCATCATTTCTAGAATGCAGTAGAAGCTCTCTTTGCAATCTCCAGACTGCTGTTTAACCCGTGGCCCACGAGTTCTGTCTATTTAACCCTCAGATGTTTTTGTTTGGCCTACACAGAGTTTTTGTTGATTTTTTTTTAAATGTATCTGATTTGCATGCCTTTAGACAAAAAGCCTCTCCAGGTCACTACTCCTGCTGCATGTCGCTGCTTCTATCCTGTTTCCTGTCCCAGCCCTGGAGCATTTGAATGCACTCGACACCAGGCCTCATGAGCCCTCCTTTTTAGAACTGCGGTCCATTCCAGGGAGGTGCAGGCCCCTGCTCTCGGGAGTCTGGGCTGAGCAGGAATTAAAGCCGCTGACTTCTGATTCACTCTGCGGTGGCCTTTCCTCCACCCTCGGTCCCTGCCTAAGGCAGAGGAGGGTCCTAGGCAGGAGGGGGTGGTCGAATGTCTGCAGAGAAATGGATGGGGGCCGCAGTGTGCTTCCCAAACCCTTTTCCCCCTCCCAGAGCTGACATACCCACCCCTCTGGCTGGCCGGTTTTCCTTCCCGGACAGCCCACCGAGCCCTTCCCACTGGCCAGTTTGCCTGGGGCCATTAGGCCAGGCAGGGAGGATCACACCATCCGCTTTTGACGGCCTAGCCCTCACAGGCTGGGGCTTCTCCGGGCTGCCTTCTTACAGATGGAGGTGGCCATCGAGCTGCGTGCCAGGGAGCGCAGGCCCCTTCCAGCCCCCATCCAGCCCCCTAGCTACATCCAGCTGGGGAACAAGAACACCAGCTGGCTTCAGGTAAGTGAGCCATTGCTTGGCAGACTTCGTGAGAGAAGCCTGGTTCTTTTGGGAGGGCTGAGACCTGCATAGACTCTTGTATCCAGTGGGGTTGTAGGGGCAAAAGGTCTTGGTACTAGGATTACTTTCTTCCCCTCTTCTTGTGTTAGAGTGTTTATGGTACTGTGTTAAGAATGATGTCTCTCTTCCTCCAGAGAACTGAGTATGGTAGAACTCAGGTGCTGGGAGCCCGAGCTCTGGGTCATGGCCATTAGTTCCCTCAGTGATGGTTGCTCCTCTGCAATGCCCCCCGCCCCCCCGAACTCTGGGCTGATGCTCCCTGGGTAGCAAGAGAGACTGTCATTAATCACCCTGATGACCACGTAACGTACGTGCATCCTGAAGGACAAGAACTAGGTGCTGTGACCCAATCCCTGACTCACCTGGGGAAGGCTTCAGGCGACCTGCATTACCTGGGGGAGGGTTGACAGGTGGTAGTTCTGGGAGGGTGGACAGAGAATGTTCCAGAAAGAGGGAGCAGTGTATGCAAAGGCCTGCTGGGGAAGGAAGGGGGCCATCTGGATCACTGAAAGACACTTGTGTGACAACACGTTAGGAAATGTTCTGTGGATACTGGCAGTTGGAAGTTGCTAAGGAGGAAGAGTTCAGCTGGAGTCAAATGCCGAAAAGCTGAGAAGGACCAAATATAGAGCCCCAACCCCCTCTATGAAATGACTATCATTTACTACTTCCTGACCATACAACCCTGGAAGTTACCTGCTTACCGGGGCCCAGCTGTTGACGGCAGGTGTCCTTGATCAGAGCTGCTGCCCTGGCCTCCTGTCAGTGGCTGAGGCTGTGCAAAGGCCCTGGGCTCGGAGCCCAGTGCTGGGGTCAGAATCTGCAGTCCAGCACAGGCATTGTGGGCGGGTCCTCTCCAGCGCCTCCCCCCAACACAGCCATGCTGTGGGTGCGGGAGGACGCAGCAGGCCAGCTCAGAGCACCGGGCCCCCTGCAGAACCAGCTGGGCTCCTGTCTCAACTAAAGTTCAAGCTGTTGTCAGTCACATCCACAGCCATGCAGAAACATTGCCTAGGACTACCTTGCCTCCCCCCGCCCCAACCTTGCTCACAGTTGAGATCAAGAACAGGAGGAGATGATAGACCAGCCATGGAGCAGGCACAGTGGGCCAAGGGGCAGGAACAGAGACTGTGGAGTTAGATCTGGGATCTGCACCGTGTATTAGTCACGTGACCGTGGGCAAGTTACTGAAGCATGTTAAAGAGCAGTTTCTCCTGCAAGCATGGGAATAATCCGTGCTTCCCGGGGCTGACACAATTAAAGAGCACACTTTAGTGTTCAGATTTTATTTCCTCCTCTTTCCTGGAGAAGCGTATGCTGTTATTTCCAAGAGCCACAATATTTACAGGCCTGTGTCTGGAGGCCCACACAGCTGGTAGAAAGCCGCAGAGGTACAGATTCCACTGTCTCTCTTTCCGGGGTTGTGGTATCCCGGGAAAACAGACACGTTTTCTCAGCTTCAGACAACCAAAAACGACCCATTTAGGAGTTGGGAAATCTAATTTGAACACAGGATGCAAATCTTACTTTCAGACAAATTCTGAAAACAACACACAACTCAGTTCTCAGAGGATTATCTACTTAACACGGTTTTAGGACATCACGTTTTTTTGTGTCACGGCCGAGGATAAATAAGATTGCCAATGTTCTGAGCTTTACATAAGGCAGGGAAGGAGGAGCCTGAGCTCTTTCTGAGCAGGGCACATGGAAGGGTTGCCCAGGTCTGGGCGAAACGCCCCTCTGTGTACTGGCTAGAACCTCATGGGCAGATAGGGTGCTTCTTTCCCGACGACGTGAGCTAGGATTGGAAAACACTTCGCGTGCCATGAAATATTTTCTAGAGCAGGGCAGTGCTAATGAAGGTATCAGTGCATTTTAATAATAGCTCTGGGAGACTTGATTTTATCCTATAGCTAATACTCTTATTAGGACCCGTTGTGGAATTAAACAGCATTAACCAGACTTCATGAGTTATGTACCACCACCGGGTGTGTGAAGCCTCAGCCGTGACGTCAGCCAGCCTCGAGCGCCACTGGGGAGCTCTTCGCTGGGCCTTTGTCACGGATGGTGATGTCACATCGCAAGCGGAACCGCAAGAAGACCTCCCTCCCTCCTCGGGGCAGAGCCTGGGTCTTCCAATGACATCTTCCTTCTTTCTTCAATGAGATCCTCTTCTTCTGGAAGCTGGTTTCACATGGTGGCTTAGATTTTTCCATCTTTGTATCTAGCACCATTTGAAATCAGTGTTTTAGGAGTAAGAATTGCAGCACAGCAAAGGGCCACCTGCAGAGGAGCCTCCGCGGGTGGGACGGGCGCCCTCCCCCTGCCCCTGAGCCGGCCCAAGAAAGGAAGACCTTGCAGAGGAGAGTGCACCCTAGCGTACCTGGGCTGTGGAGGGGTGATGGAGCGGGGAGGGTGTGGTGTGTAAAGGGAACTCTGCCTCCGAGCAGGGGCAGAGGGGTGCCAGCTTGTCACAGCCACCAGGGCTCACCTGCCCGTTGGGCCTTCAAGCGCAGAGTTGGGGCCGTGCTCCACGCGGGGCTCGATTGTACCAGGGGAGGGGCGGGGCTGTGTACCCGGAGGACGGCCCCATCCGCGTCAGCACTGCGCCCGCTCTAGACGCCCCGGAACCTTCAGCTGCTGCTGCAGGGCGGCTGGAATCAGACTCGCCACCTGCACGGCCGAGGGCAGGACCCCCAGGAGCGCCACTGGACCCATCTCTTACACAGGCTGACCGATTTCTCCTGGTGTTCAGAGTCTGTTTTTGTCTAGCACCATTTGAAATCGGTTATGATGTAGGGGGACAAGCAGCAGCCTCGAAGCCTCGTGCCAACCGTGGTGAGCAAGCGCCCGTGGTCTCCCGGAGGACGGACGGGCAGAGTGGGGAAGGACGATCTCGCGCTTTTTTCACTAACTTCTTTAACTGCATTTATGATGCCTTATTGCAGAGGTAAGAGAGCACTGAATGTCTTTTCAAAGACAAATGGCCATAATGCATCTGAGGTCCCGGGTTGCATGTTGCTGAAATGCGGCAGCTGCTGTCAGCGGTTGCTGTTGAATCATCTTTCCGTGAAGAGTCTGTTCGTGCTCCTGACCTGAATAAATACTTCACTCTACTCAATTAGTCATGTCTTTGTTTTTCATCTGTCGTTTGCTATTCATAATTCCATGATAAGCGGGGTCCTGAAAAGGTAACTCGAGATGTAGATTCACCTACTTCCTAAGCATTTGAGGAGCCGGCCCGTTAGGACAAGAATGGAATTCTGTGAGCCGAGAAACACACGAGAGAAAAGATCACAGAAAAGAGAGGTGCTCAAGCCCGGGCCAAGGGATGCTGCTTATGGACGGGGAGGCTGAGGCTGGTTCCAAGTGGACTGGAGCCCTGGCACCTCTGTGGTCCGTGATCCTTCGAGAAATTTTGTCGAGCCGAACCCGTGGTCACATGGCTGGCAAAGGAGAGCAGCCTGAGGATTTCCCTTACTTCATAAAAGGTGCAGGAGGTCTACTTGTGGTTCATAGTTTCTATGAACCCTGAAGACAGGGCGGACCAGTTCTGGAAAGGTATTCAGCGATTAGCCAGATCTGACGTCACGGGGGATTGGACCTGCGGAACCGGCCGGTCAGAGGGCTGTGGCCCCCTGAGGGAGCGTTTTGCGCAGATGTCCGGCGACATCTTGAATCTTTTTTCAAGTCCATGCAAATATCAGGGTCCACCCATGGGGGCTCTGGTTATACTGCTCCAGGATCGGGCCTACATTTTTGTTCTAAAGGTTCCCCAGGTGACTCTCGTGTGCAGCCACAGGTGAGAGCCACCCCTCTGGGGTCTTGCTTTCCTACTCAGACGGTGGTGTGAGGACCCCTAGCATGGGTGTATGAGTTGTTGGTCCTCGTCTCCTTGGGCTGCTGTAAGAAAATACTACAGCCCGTGCAGATTATAGACAACAGCTACTTCTGTTTGGGATGCTGGGAAGGCCAAGATCCGGTGGTGGCGGATTCAGCGCTGGGTGAGAGCCAGCTTGCCGGTTCAAAGACCGTGCCTTCCCAGGGCAGAGGGGCTGAGGGAACCTTCTTGGGCCTCTTTACAAGGGCACTAATCCCATCGTGAAGGCTCTGCCCCCATGACCTAATCTCTTCCCAAAGGACCCACCTCCTAATAGCTCACCTTGGGGTTTTGGTGGGACACAAACATTCACACAGTAACTGTGTGGAAACAACACACCTCATTTCTTTCAGTCCTGGAAGTCCAAAGTGTGACCTCATTTCACAAGGCATTGGCAGGGCCAAGCTCCCACCAGAGGTCCTAGGAGAATCCGTTTACTTGCCTTTCCAGCTTCTAGAGCTGCGTTCTTTGGCTTGCGGTCCCTGCCTCCATCCTCAAGGCCGGCAGCAAGCATTCGGCCACAGGGTCACGCCACCTTCTGCTGCAGTCAACTTCCCCACTGACCTCCCTTCTAGGGAACCGTGTCATTTCACTCAGCCCCCCCCCCGCCCCCGCCAAGATCCCATGTGCAAAGACCCTTAGCCACAGAGGGGACATTCACAGGTCTCCGGAGGCCATTAGCCTACCACGAGCAGCAGGTGGAAATGCTGAATCTTGGGCCCCACCTGGGACCTGCTGGATCAGAATCTGCGTTTTAACAAGACTTGCCTGCACACCACAGCCGGAGAAGCGTGGTCCCATGGGCTCCTACCCAAGGAATTCTCCAATAAGGAATGGAGTCCCATGTCAAACACAAATTGAAGGGGTGTTTTCCCAGGAGCCTTTTCGGGTGGTGCTGGGTGATCCGATGACTGGCATTTTCCCAAACACCATAACTAAGTGCCCATCTAAACGACGGTCGTCTCCAGAGTCTCCCTGAAGCCACCAGCCCTACGCACCAGGACGCTGGAGCTCTTGCTCGGCTTCCAGTTGGAAACAAGGCTGCCACTGCCACATAAAACAATTCCATTTTTTAAAAGCTGTGTAAGGGAGATAGATGTTTATGATGTAAACATAAGCAGCTTCTGCTACTCCGCATATACAAGTTTTCTTGGGGTAGCGAGTCAGGAGTCGGGTGGGTTACTTTCTCGTTGTGACCTATACTTGCGGCGATTCGTGCACCTTCAGGTACGTAGGTGAGAGGGAAGAAAAAGTTTACTGACCACAGCCCCCCAACATTCTGCTTCCCCATATTTAAGCAACAAGGGACAGAGGTGAGCCCTTTTAAAATGTCGATTTCACAGAAGGAAAGCAGAAAAGACCTAGTTAATACTAGATCCAAAATGAAATTTAAAATGTCTTCTGGGGTGGGGCACCTGGGTGGCTCAGTCGTTGAGCGTCTGCCTTCGGCTCAGGTCATGATTCCAGGGTCCTGGGATCGAGCCCCGCATCGGGCTCCCTGCTCGGCGGGAAGCCTGCTTCTCCCTCTCCCACTCCCCCTGCTTGTGTTCCCCTCTCTCGCTGTGTCTCTCTCTGTCAAATAAATAAAATCTTAAAAAAAAAAAAAAATGTCTTCTGGGAATCACAGCAAGGACAGGAACCTCGGAATAATGACCAAGTTGGAAGGACCTCAGGAACGTCAAATGCCCGGAGAGTCCACAGGAGGGCAGCAGTGCTACGTGGTAGAAAGACTGACCACTTCAGTGCAACCTTTTCTGATGAATCTGGAAATGATGAAAGCAACATTCCCTAGGTGGGGAAACAACAACAAAAACCGTGTGCATGGGTACTCAATTTTGCATCCTTCCTGGAAGTCAGTAGACTGTTAAATCCTGGTCTTGAAGAGTAATATGCAAACGCTTAAAGTATGCAAGGAAGTTCATTCTTGCTTGCAGCTAGCTGTCAGGCATTACTAAATTTTAGAATACTGGAGTTGCCTATTTTCCTTAAACCAAGAATATTCTTTAACAATACAATTCCAGCCTATCCCATGTCTCTTCAGCATTCCCACAGAATACTTTTTTTTTTATTAGAAACTTTAAACTCTTGGGGCGCCTGGGTAGCTCAGTCGTTAAGCGTCTGCCTTTGGCTCAGGTCATGGTCCTGGGGTCCCGGGGTCCTGGGATCGAGCCCCGCATCAGGCTCCCTGCTCAGCAGGAAGCCAGCTTCTCCCTCTCCCAGTCCCCCTGCTTGTGTTATCTCTCTCACGGTGTCTCTCTCTGTCAAACAAATTAAATAAATAAATAGAAACCTTAGACTCTCCCTGTATATTTGATGCCAATTTAAAAAATATGCTATAGTTTATAAAGACCAATAAAATTTGTTTCCCTTATTTATAGACAACCTAATTTACATCAAGTGTTGATATTGTAAATATTGCTTCTGTTCCTTTTTTTTTTTAAAACCAGAGCCTTGTTTGACTGGCCAGGTAACAAGACCTTAATTTAAGTCTTAAGATATTTTCTGATTTATTAGGCTGAATTAATAAAACCCTAATCTTCTTTTGTAAATGTAAGCCTTTACTTTGCCAGTATACATTTATAGAGCACTTTATAAATCACTAATGCAGAAGTTCTCAACCTTAGCTACATACTAAATCACTTGGGAAGCTTAAAAAAAAAAAATCCCTATGCCCAGGCCACATCCCAGATCAATTACATAAGAAAACCCAGAGAGGTTGGGACCCAGGCATCAGTAAAGCTCCCCAAGTGATTCCATGTGCAACATGGTTCAGAACACGGAGGCCTGATCTCAGACATTTAACAATCTAATTCAAATCTGCAAAAAGACCAAGAGATTTTTTTTTTTGCATAAACAAAAGCAAACCCTATTATGCCAATCAAATTTTACACTTTCATTGTTGGGACTTGGGTTTTGAAGTACTTCACCATACCCATATGGGCATACAGAGGTGGTATGAGGTGGTTCACTCAAGGCTGGGTAATCACAAAGGCTCTGAGAGCTGGGGGAATCAGGAAAAGCTTCACTGGTTGGAGTGTAGGAGCTGAGCCTTGAAAGATGCCCAGGACCCGGCAGGACCGGAAGGGCTACGGGCGGCCGTGAACCAGGAGCTCAGCAGAGCACTCGGGGCAGATGGTCAGCTGGGCGGACAGCAGCTTATTTGAAGAAGTACATGGAGCAAAAGAAGTCTGAGGAAGAAGAGTTGGGACTTATTTGTAGGAAACCTTCAAGGAGCACGCGAAACAACTTGGACTTGATGCTGTAGGTCATGTGCTGTGGCTGAACACCTCTGGGCAGGAGAGGCCCAGGCTGGGCTGGGAGAGGAGCCCTGACACATCTAAGGCCCTGGGCTGTGAGGGGCAGGAGTGGAATGCTTAGAGAAGCTGGGCCCGAGGGACAAGCATACGTCCTCTGAGACAAAGCATGCTCGAAATAACGCATCATCACAAGTGAAAATTCTCCAATCTACATTTTATTTTTTACAACATTTGAAGGTCCGGTGAACCTTCAATACAAAATGAGCAATACAGACCCCGATACATGGGACTTCTCATTTCACTGCAAATACATTCTTACAGTTTTAACAAACTTTTAAATATACATATGCTTTTTTAAGTCGTTACAGAAACTTTCCTAGAGAAAACTGTTTTCCCTTATGTTAGGTAATTGACAAGTTGTTAGACAAAGAGCGTAATTTATATTTACACATTTGTATCAATTTCCCATATAAATTTACTAAAATGAAAAAACTAAATTTGAAGCAGAAACTACTATACAAGTCCATTTATTTTCGAAAGCCTAACAATCTTTGGTTGGCAAATATTCAGTTCGGCTGGTTAAAATAAACAGTACAGCCATCCCTCGCTTCGAAGCAAGTGCTACGTCCCTGAAAAGTATACGACAGTGGGGCTGGTACAGCTTCACCTCCGTACTGAATTCTGAATTCCTGCTTCTGCTCAAGCTCATCTTCCCCAAGTCCCCCCCGGATCCCACAGGGAAGGAACACTTACAGTGCATCACAAACATGGTCCACGCTTGATTCCCAACCATATCCTTCTCCGGGCAACGTTTCTTTGGCCTAATTTGCGCTACTGAACGGAAAAGTGCAAAACGAAACTTGTAAAAGTGTCATGGGAGTTCGAGTGGCCGTCCCCCCTGGGCTTCTCCGAAGGAGACCCTGCCTGGGGTGAGGACGCAGAGGCCACAGTCTGTCCCAGCTGAGCATTCGGTGCTACCTCAGCTGTTGGTTTTTTCTGTCCCTTTGCACGAGCAACGGCAGGCACCGTTTCCTTCTCTGAAATATGTGGCTTAATTTTTACTCTGCTGTCAGCACATAAGGTGAGATGCAACTAAACACTCAGATTCTGATACAACCTGAGCTTATCTGATGGATACATTCCTGCAAAACTCACCCCGTTTACACGACGTTGTCTAAAGTAAGACCTCTCTTTATTCAAGTACGGGGAGAAGACCCATTGCCAGAATTCGGAGTGGAATCTAATTTTCCCAAAGAGCAGAATCCTCTTAGGGAAACTGCAAGGCCACAGTGTTCACTCTAGCACCAGCGGGCGAATTCTTGCTACGAGAGCGAGGGCTCCCTGATGTCGTTCAGGAGTTTGCAATAGATTTTGAATCCCTCATGCAGACTGCTTATCGATGTTTTAAAAAGTGAAGCACAAATACCATACACTTTATAGCTTCCTTAAATCACCAAGAAATTACAAATAGTTAAAAAAAAAAAAAAACATACAGAATTCTACCCCATTTAGAGTATTTTCCAATAATATTCTTAGTTAAGGAAGCCAAACTTGTTCAAAATCCCAGTTTTCAGTGTTCCTGTTTTTAACGTTAAGGGCAGAAGTAGAATACACATATTTGTAAGGCTTTTTACACGAAACAATATATAAAACACATTTTAGAGTTGTTGAAAGAATGAATCAAGACTTCTCAATCTTTGAACAAAAAGGATTTCAAAATCTCCTTCTTTACAAATGAAATGTAATTTATCTTGCACAATGATTTTCTAAATTTGGGTATTTCATTAAAAAAAATTATCTTCCCACCTAAATACTGCCAGGGATACTGTGTCCAGTTGTCCTATAAATGCAAGTGTTATTCAAGGGAAAACAGGCCAGAGGTTCATACCCAAATTCATACACTGTTTAAAGCAGCATCCAAGGACGGTGAGTACATTCAAACCACTTAAAATGCTAGCATTATGGCTTATTTGGTTGCATTCATAAGAGTGAAAAAAAACCTAGACAATAATTTTTGTAGATATTTCCCCCTTCTGGTTTTATTGATGTAACTGACATACAACACTGTATATATTTAAGGTGTATAGCATGAATTGATAACGTATACATTGAGAAATGATCACCACAGTGAATTTAGTTGATAGCACCTCAGTGACAAAAATTTTTGTCTTCCTGATCAGAACTTTTAAGATCTACTCTTAGCCACTTGCCAATATACAATATAGCAGCATTGCTGACAGTCACCAGGCTGCACATTAATTCTACCCCAGTATTTACTAATCTTAAAACTGGAAGTTTGTCCCCTTGACCCCCTTCACCCAATTCTGCCCCCCACCCCCCGGCAACCACCAATCTGGTTTCTGTTTCTAGGAGTTTTTTGTTGTTCGTTTGTTTTTAGATTCTACAATAAGTAAGATCCTACAGTATTTGTCTTTCTCTTTGACTTTTATTTCACTTAGCAAAATGCCCAGTGTCCATATATTTTGTCCTCAACAGCAAGATTTCCTTCTTTTTTATGGCTGAAGAGTATGCTGCCATATTTGCATAGCACGTTTTCTTTCAGAATTCATCCCTCCAGGAACACTTAGGTTGTTTCTTTCTCTTGGCTCTTGTAAATAATGCTGCAGTAAACAGAGTACTACACAGTTGTTTTGTTTCCTTTGGATATATACCCATGAGTGGAATTGCGGGATCATCTGGTGATTCTCTATTCTTAATTTTTTGAGGAACATTTATACTGTTTTCCATAGAAGCTGTGTGAATTTATTGTAGATCTCAAAGGATAAACCGGTGTGGAGAAACCAGTTAGTGCTCTGCTGATGTAGCTGACTTATCCTGGCAAGCACTGTATTCGGCCGTCATGTTTCCTCCCCTAGAAGGCGAGGCAAAAAGTATCAAAGATAAACATAATTAAGTACATAAATTCAAGTCCAAAATCTATTTAGAAAGTTGACAATTGAAAAAAACAACTATAGGAATGCATGAACTAGGAAATAAATGATTTTTAAAAAATAATTTCAAATGTCCAATTACTCTCCAGAAACCCTTCTATCCCTGTATTATATTTTTGATTCCAAAACAATAGAACAGTATGATACAAAGTACTTAGTAAAGATTTTCTCATTTCAATTAAAACGAAGGCTAATGGGGAAGACTGGAGAGAAACACTTATTTTCCTAATACTAAAATTTTAAATCTGGCTCTGAGAGGAAACTTTTGAAAAGGTAACAATTTCACCAGCCTTCAAGCTCAATAATGCCCCATTTAGCCCTCACGGTCAAGGAAATCATGTGTTTCGCTAAGAGATTCTCCTAAATAACTAAGGATAACATCACAATTTTATGGTAACAATAGACATCTTTCTAAAACCTGTTATTCTAGCCCGATGCTTTCCAAAGAAATATACTATGAGTCACATGGGTAACTTTACATTTTTTAGAAACCACATTTAAAAAAAGTTAAAAGAAGCTAGTGAAGTTAATTTAAATATATTTTACTTTAACCCAATATACGTGTTATTTTACATTTTTTGTACTAAGTCTTAAAGGCTGGTGTGTATTTTACACTTACAGGCCAACTTACAGAGGACTAGCCACTGGGAAGTCCTCAGTAACCACACGGGACTATCGACTATTGAATTGGAAAACGCAGGTCTAGTCCCTGCCTTAGTAAAATGACTAGAACGGACAGATGAAAACTCACCGTGGATGAGTCAGTGGTTCACCAGTGCGCGTGGCCCAGTGACCCCTTCAGGGATGCCTACCCAACCTAACAGCTAACCATGTCAGTTTTGGATACCCTAGTACTTCTTTCTCTGGGGGACGCCATCACGTGAGACACCACTGTCACAAAAATACACTTGTGATCGAGCAATTTCCTGAGGACTACTGGGAGCCATTTTATATTGTGAGTTAGGACTATCAGTGAATTCTCTGAGACTGCCATCTTTTTCTACTTTTTGGAGTCAGTACTTCTTTGGTTTGTGTGGTGGTGGAATCCTTTTCTTCTAATAGAATTTTAAATAGAATCCAAGAGAGGAGAAAGATAAAAAGGATTCACCTAACTTTTAGGAAACACTTATTTGATAGAACAACGAAGCAGTTTAAAGATGGTGAAAATCTAACCCTGGATTACTAATTACAGATGTCTTATATTACCTTCACCATCCATTATATGACCTTCCAATGTTTACAGACACCTTGGAGCTCACGACAGACTGAAATCTACCTTCCTGGTTGGCTTTAGCCTCAAAGGAATCCTAAGAGACCAGGAAGATTCACAGGACTGGGGAGGCCCCTACTGCCACTTCAGTTGGTATGTCCCATCTTCCCCTTTGCTCCTGTGACCCAAGACACCACTCTGCTTTTACCAAGAAATGGCCCTTCCTAATTGGCCTGTGTAGTCTGCTCCCAAACTCCTGACTATAGCACCTCACATTATAAGTAGGGGGATACATATCTCCTCTCTTCCCGGCTGTGTAGACACACATTCTGGTACAAAGGGAGGAACACTTCCAATTCATTTCATTAGGACAGAGGGCAGTGAGGCTCAAAGGGTCTAAGGCAATGCAATTCATAGTTTTTCAAAATCTAAGGATTTTTTGGTTGGTTTCTCTTTCACACATTAAAGATACTCTGTTCATGGAAAACAGGTAAGTGCCTTTAAAGTTAATATTTACAAGTTGAAACTGAATTTTTTTTTTTTGAATGCTTCTTTTACAAAATTAAGTAAAATATATTTTGGTTTCTGAAAAAGGGTCTTTTTCCTCCCTGCACTTAAAATGAACAGATTCTATGATTATTTCCCACTGGGCTAAAAAATTTCTGCACTTTTGGATTCACAACTACTAGGTGGTCGAGGGAGCCTGACAATCTGATAAAAGGACAACGGGGACATTACTCAGTTGGAGCCTATGTCAAAGTAAACGCCTGCCAGGACATGTTATTTAAAACAGGAATGGTATAAAAACAACAATTTAGCAAAGGGCACAGGAATCCTCTTGATGTTTACTGCCAACATATCTTAGTTCAGAGTATTGATATCTAAATATTCATTGACTATTTTCTGTTCTAGAAAGGACATCTCTTAAAAGAAACACACAAAGCCGATACCTTTTAACGATAAAAGCAAACCTTTCTCTCATCTCTTCTTCTCAGAGAGAATTAAATTTTACTTCTCTGTGGCTCTCACCAGTTTGGTATGTGCTGAACAGAGGAAGGGAAAAGGGCTAAATAAAATAGTCACATCAAACCAAAAGGCAGCAGAGCGGCATAATAAGTGGGATAAAATCAATGACAGGAAAATGGAAGCACAGCTGACATTTAGATTCATCAATGATGACTTTTCTGATTCTCATTTAGGAATGTGAAACAGGAATTTTGTGCAAGAAGCTACTTTGACATTGACGTCTTATAGGTCACCCAGTAGATGAACAGATTCTAAATTTCTGTGCAATCTGTTTACCCCTGAAACCATTTAGCCTGATACAAATAATGTAAACTCTCTGTGAGGACAAAGGGTCCTTGTCTCTCACACCTTAGATTTAGCGGGAATACCCACAGCATGCAATATTGTCTGAGAAGTCAATTTTATGACAAGGCAGACATTTTCAGATGCATCTTGACTTTCACATCGGGTACAGTTTCTTCCTGAGGCACATCTGCTATCCCCCCCGAGGAATGACCTCTATAAAACTTATTACCTGACATTCCATTTTTCTGGGATGGATCTAAAGTTTGCTCTCTCGACTACACAATTCTTTCTTACTTACTGGTTGTTTAAAATATTTTGAAGAGCTTGTTGAAAGCTCAAGAATTGGAAAGCCAAGTAGAAAAACGTTCAAGTTGATCTGAGCCTTCGATTGTTTGCCCCATGTCGCTACGCTCCCCGCTGCCTGATCTGGCCACTCGATGGAATGAATCCCCAACCTCTATAACCTTCATTTAAGAACTGATGGCTTAAAAATTACAAAGTTACTGGCTCAGTCATTGTTATAAAAATAGGCTTAAGTTCTACCAAATAATAAATATTCTTAACAGAAAAAAACCAGGAGAACTATTGAGTCACCGGTAATAAAACACATAAAGTATGTAAATAATTCTAATGGACTTCAGCAAACTCTCGCTTCTCCAGGGATGATGTCACCAGAGTAGAGAGAATCATACATTTATGCAACGAAAATCACCACCCGTAGGTGAACACACTGCTGTCAAGCAAAGGCATCTGTTTTCTGGAGCTGCGCAGTCTTGCCAAGCCAGACAGGACTCAAGCAGTAGCAAAGCACCAGGAAAGAGCCGATGATCCCCGGATGAGAAAGTATGGCAGCAAATGAGGTAAGAAAGGAAACCGGAAGGAAAGAGGAAGAGGTGTGTGGGTGGGCCCATTTCACGACTAAGGAACAGACAACTCTCACAGAACCCTTCAGCGTGGGGCCACGTTCATCAAATCGTTCAGAGACGTTTGATGGCCTGAAAAATGATGACTTACACGATGTTTGTACTGTGGGATGGAGGTCACGGAAGGGTAACTGTGTTCCCAAGTCATCACAAATACAAGTTTAAATCAAAATCCATTTTGTACCAAGTTTTGGCAGCAATTTGGGACGGTCTGTGCCTAGTGCCCTGCTTCCAGAACTACCCCCTAGGAACATACACTTCATAGTCTCTTAGGGAAGTTTCTAAGGCAACAACACTCAGTTTCAGGGAGAAAGGTGATGGACATTAGGCACTACAAAGAATCTAACAGAAATCTTTACTTTTTTAGGGGGTGCCTGGGTGGCTCAGTTGGTTAAGCGACTGCCTTCGGCTCAGGTCATGATCCTGGAGTCCCGGGATCGAGTCCCACATCGGGCTCCCTGCTCGGCGGGGAGTCTGCTTCTCCCTCTGACCCTCCTCCCTCTCATGCTCTCTGTCTCTCATTCTCTCTCTCAAATAAATAAATAAAATCTTTAAAAAAAAAAAAAAGAAATCTTTACTTTTTTTTTTTTTTAAAGCAATATAAAGTTAAATATTAGCCCACACACTTTTTAAAAACATACGCAGAGATGTGGTGTCTTTAGAAAATCCAATTATCTTAAACAGGAGAAAATTTTACCATTAAGTTTGATGGTGTTTCTTCAAATTTCAAGAATATGGGTGCATCGATAATAGTCTCCAGCCTGGTAACTCAGAGACATGGGATCTCAGATCACTAATGCTACTGAAATCCTTCATCTGGGGTACACTGCTCACGTAATTGTTCAGCTTTAAAAGACCCATTAACTGGTAGCTAGAGAGAGTATCATTAATACTTGTTAAGGAACCTGTATGTATTTTGATGCAGTGTTGTTTTAAACAAAGGAGCAGAGAGCTATTTTGTTCTGTTTTGTGTTTTTGAGAACCTATAAAACTTTTGGACTTGTAAAAATATTTCTCATAGTATTTCCTACTCAGAGTGCTGTGTATATGTAATTTTAAAAATATACTGCTGATTTAGCAATCAAATATGCATATCATGTGTTCTACAAATATAAGATTGAAGACTCAAATGAAGGCATGGTGGGTATTTAGAAATAGTAATTAAGTAGGGGGGCCTGGGTGGTTCAGCCAGTTAAGCCTTCGACTCTTGGTTTCGGCTCAGGTCCTGATTCAGGGTAGCGAGGCTGAGCCCCAAGTCAGGCTCCGCATGGAGTCTGCTTGAGATTCTCTCTCCTTCTCCCTCTGCCCTTCATGCTTGTGTGCTCTCTCTCTCTCTCAAATAAATAAATAAATCTTAAAAAAAAATAAGTAATATTTTAAAAGTCTGAGCTCTTTATAAATAAATAATGTACTTTTATTACATAGCCTAAGCCAGATGATTAATATATGGGAAAATATATTCCATAAAACCATGAATACCAAAAGTCTTAAAATTATTAGTTTGATTTCAAAGCTATAGGGAAATAAATCACTAAAGATCAGAAATTTCAAAGCACCTAATTTGGTCTATGTTTCAGGATTTATTCCAAGTCTTTAATAAATTGAAAATTATTTAAGATTTAAGTCTGATGCTTAAAACCCCTATTCTGCTCAGAAGATATATACTTGTACATTTTTTTCTAAAGATTCCCTACTTTTCATTTTTATAGAATAAAACACAGATAAAGTTAATAATGAGGTGCTTTGTAAATCTTACCCCTGTCAGCAACCCCAACAGTTTTACTGCAACCTAGTAAATTAAGAGAACATAAGAGGGAAATCAAAGAGTGTTGTTTTTCCTTCCCCAGTTCAGCAAGTATAAGTAATAACTCTACATAAAAACAAATCAAATTGGGTATGTGAATGAGAACCTACGTAGCTTCTTACAATTACCTAAGTTACACAGACAAATGGAAACTTTCATCATACAAATTCCGACAAATACAACTGTCTAAGCCTCCACAGTGAGCCATTCTAAATTTCATCTTGGCCACCAGTCCAGTGTAGGACACAGGGTAAAGCTGGGTGGGGAAGGCCCCATAATGGTCCGTGATTTGCTACAGAACCTAACTCTCAAATCCCACAGAAACGTTTCTTGCAGTCCTAATAGCCACGGCCACTCTGCACAGAGTCCTCTGACTTCAGGGGCAGTAAGAGCAGCCTGAGGTCGTTTCAGTAAACACATGCAACCAGGATGGTGCGCTCATGCAGGCACAGTTTCAAAAAAAAGACGGTATGCAGGACAAACAGAAAAGCTGCACAAAATGACATCAAGAGTGAGAAGGACCATGAGTTAGTTAGAAGGAACATGCTTTTATTTACCCTTTCTTCTTGTGTCGATAAAATGTGTACAGGATGCAGCCAAGTAGTACAAGGCCAGCAACTACAAGAAACCAGAAAACAAATAATACATAACTGAGAGCTGCTTGTCAAGATTCAAAATTTAGCAGCAGAAATAAGTAACTGTTGGTTGCATTTCAGTAGTTAGAAAATGTTATTTTATTTAAGCACATATCTATTTATATTCCATCTGGACTCTTTTACTATCTAAAGCCCATTCCCTGGAGTCACTTGAATAGTCCACAGGAAGCCAGAGAAGAATCCTTGCTTAGTTTAGAAAATTATCAAAGCATCTTTGGGATGCAAACTCATGACCAATTATCCTGAAAACACATGTAGTATTTAGGATTTGTTACTAAGTGGACATGTACAGTATAAAAGAATATACATTCACCAGCAAAACGTAGTGTATCATATACAAGGTCAGGCTATTCTAGACTGGTGGACTTCATTTCAAGCTATATAAACTATAGAAACTGAAAAGTTAAATTAAAAATCATTTAATTAAATAAATTTTAAAATAATGCACTTTTTCAGAGTAATACTTTTATTTAAGTGGCATCAAAGTTTGGGTTACTTACGAACAGAAAGAACAATCGCAGCGGTGGTTCCGTTGCCTGGGAAAAAAATGAACAGTTTGAAGATTGTCCCTGAGGTTCCCAAGTATAGTTGCATTTAATTTTGATCAGATCATCTCTACGCTACAGCAAAGAAGGTCTTCCTCAGTCTAGTTTTAGCGTGAGCACTAGTTCTGATCACAGAACCCTTGGAATCAGATCCTACGTTCAGGCTCCACCTTGTAAGACTTCACTTTTGACTGTTTTGTGCTGTAGTTACCATATCAGGTTAGTACAGCTTACTAGGACAATTAGAATTCAGTAGTAGATTAGAAGAAAACGGTTTCAAAATGTATTACTCCATTAGAGTTGGTTTCGTTCAGTATTCATTCTATCATTTGTGATTTTGGTAGAAATTCCTATTTTTTACACAAAAATGGGGTCTGTGGACTAAGTCATAAATAAAGTTTCACCCATCTATCACACAGATGTTAGCTGCCGAATCTTCAAAATCATACTTTATCTTATCAACAACCCCTTCTGATCTTCCACCCCCGAACACCAAGACATAATCCTTATTACCAAGGAGAGTCTAAGTATGTAAATGAAACACCAGGGCACATGGATGCAAATAATGCATAGAAACTTAAACATGCATTTCTGACTACCCAGAGAGAAATAAATACATACTACAAAATCTTAATTCTTAGCAATGGTGTCAGGAATACCTCTGCTTCTAAACTGCCATTATTTATATTAAATTTCTGGAAGTCAAAGCATAAAATGTCATGTTTAAGTCTGATACAAATAAAAGTAATAGACAATTCCCTTCATTTACTTATCAAGAAATCTTTAACTGTCACAACTATACTTTTTTTCATTTTCTTTAACATACATTGTGTGAACTATGTGAGCCTACATAAAGTTTGCCACACCAGCATGTTACAGAAAAAATTAATCCAACCTATAGTACTTTAAGGCTTATGTATACAAGGGACAAGTAGAAAGAAAATTGATCTACAAATTCATAAAAAAATAACACTACCATATGGATTGCAAGTTATGTTGTATGTATTTTAACCTATATATAATCATAGAATTTAAGAAAGGTACCTCACCCTACTAGGAATCCGATTTGGGGAGGGGGCACCTCTTAAAAACTATATTGTCTGCATGTACTCACACATACTGCTGCTTACATCTGCCATGGTATCTACACTATTAAAATAACTCCAAATGTCAATTTTTACCAATTTGTGACACACACACGGTTTCTTCTCTAACTACAAGTAATTGAAATATGGTATTTACATGTAGAACTCTAGGGTCTAATAATGCAAGGCTATTAATAACCAAAATAGTACCTAAAGTCTCAGTGTCTTCAGGTGTTGATTCATCACCAGGACTTGGGGGAGGTCCTAGAAAAAAAAAAATGGAAATTAAAAAAAAAGAGAGAGAAATAAAGTTTAAAGACCTCTAAATTCATAGGTTTTGATTTTTCACCTTTTTTTTTTAAGATTTTATTTATTTATTTGACAGAGAGAGAGATAGTCAGAGAGGGAACACAAGCAGGGGGAGTGGGAGAGGGAGAAGCAGGCTCCCTGCCGAGCAGGGAGCCCGATGCGGGGCTCGATCCCAGGACCCCGGGATCATGACCTGAGCCGAAGGCATATGCTTAACGACTGAGCCACCCAGGTGCCCCTTGATTTTTCACCTTTGTATAAAAACCCTTGTAATTTCCTTTTCCTTATATAAATGAATGTTTCCCATTAAAGGTAGCATCATAATATATTATAAATTTGTATGTGATCAGCATTCTTCTTGTCCAGTAATACTTCCTGTGACAATATTCTGTGGTACAGTAGGGCAACTGTATCATAAGTGTACTGTTAAACTTATAGATTTAATTAAGATTATGGATTCAATGTGATTCTACTTAGAAGTAAAAATTTGGGGGGGCTTAATAAACTATTTAGATATTGATCTGCAATAGAAGGAAACTTCAACATGATGAAGGCCATTTATGAAAAGGCCATCACTTGCATCATACTCAATAGTCAAAGACTGAAAGTTTTTCCCTTAAGATCAGGAACAAGACAAGATACCTGTGTCTTCCACTTCTATTCGACATAGTATTAGAAGTTCTAGTCAGAGCAATCAGGCAAGAAAAATAAAAAGCATCCAAATTGGGAAGGAAGAAATAACATGATCCCTGTTCCAGATGACATGCATAACCTTTACATAGAAAACTCTAAGGATCACACACATCCCTATTAGAATAAATGAATTCAGCAAAGCTGAAGGGCACAAAATCAACACACAAAAATCAGTTGTATTTCTACACACTAACAATGAATAATCCAAAAAGGAAATTAACAATCCCATTTATTATAGCATCAAAAACAAACAAAATACTCGGGAATAAAACAAGCAAAAAGGTGAAAAACTCACACACTGAAAACTACAAAACGTAGCTGAAACAAACTGAAGATATAAATAAATGGAAAGACATCCCATGATCATGAATTAGAAGACTTAATATTATTAAAATGTTAATACTACACAAAGCAATCTACAGAATGAATGCAACCCCTATCACCATCTCAAATATGCATTGTTGCGGAAACAGAAAAAAACCCCCAACTATAATTCATATGGCATCTCAAGGGACTAAAAACAGCCAAGATAATTTTGAGAAAGAAGAGCAAAGTTGGGGGGACTCACGCTTCCTGATTTTAAAACTTACTACTACAAAGCTACAATAATCAAAATAGAGAGGTACTGGCACAAAGACAGACACACAGACCAATGGAACAGAACAGAGAACTCAAGAATAAACCCTTATGGGGTGCCTGGGTGGCTCAGTCGTTAAGCGTCTGCTTTTGGCTCAGGTCATGATCCCAGGGTCCTGGGATCGAGCCCTGCATGGGACTCCCTGCTCGGCGGGAAGCCTGCTTCTCCCTCTCCCACTTCCCCTGTTTGTGTTCCTGCTCTCACTCTCTCTCTGTCAATAAATAAAATCTTAAAAAAAAGATTCAAAGTGAGATGATGAAAACATTTTGGAGATACAGATAGTTCTGATGGGGTTGCAAACAATGTGAATGTACTTCATGCCACGGAAATGTACATTTAAAATGGTTAAAATGATAATATAAGTTTATTTAGAGAAATTAACACACAAGGGCACCTGGGTGACTCAGCCGGTTAAGCATCTGACTCTTGATCTTGGCTCAGGTCATGATCTCAGGATGGTGAGATGGGAGCCCCACACTGGGCTCTGTGCTCAGTGGGGAGTCTGCCTGTCCCTCTCCCTCTGCTACTCCCCCTACTCGCTCTCTCAAATAAATAAATGAATAAAATCTTGAAAAAAAAATAACATACAGAAGTCTAAACATTTCTGAAAAGGAAGTGTTCTGCCAGATATTAAAACATATCATGGGGCGCCTGGGTGGCTCAGTCGGTTAAGCGACTGCCTTCGGCTCAGGTCATGATCCTGGAGTCCCGGGATCGAGTCCCGCATCGGGCTCCCTGCTCGGCGGGGAGTCTGCTTCTCCCTCTGCCCCTCCCCCCTCTCATGTGGTCTCTCTCATTCTCTCTCTCTCAAATAAATAAATAAATAAATAAATAAATAAATAAATAAATCTTTAAAAAAATATATCATACTATACTATGTAAAAAATCAGTACTCTAAGTAAAAAAAAAACGATTTGGTGCTGGCACAGGAATGCAGAGCTCCAGGGTACAGGAGAATGACCAGAACACCCATGAATTTTATAATATAATAAAAATTGGTACTTGAAAATAGTTGGAGAGAGGACAACTTATTCAACAGATGTTCCTACTTCGCCACTGGGTGGGGGTGAGGGTGGGGGTGGGTGGGGTGGAGAGGAGCCCTGTCTCACTCCATATACCACAATGAATTTCAGATGCAACAACAACTTAAATGCAAAGAATGCCATCAGATGTATGGTTGAAATGATTATATGTTTCAGCATGGGGAAAACCTAAAGCCTTTATAAAAAAGTCAAAACACACATAGTCATCAGCGAAAAGATCAATATACTCAACTACCTGTTAATATAAAACTTCTACACATGTAAAAGGCCCCTAATGGGAGAATAGTTTATATAAACTGTGGCATATCTTTTTTTTTTTAAAGATTTTATTTTATTTATTATTTGAGAGAGAGAGAGAGAGCACAAGCAGGGTGAGGGGCAGAGGGAGAAGCAGACTCCCCGATGAGCAGGGAGCCCATTGTGGGGCTTGATCCCAGGACTCCAGGATCATGACCTGAGTTGAAGGCAGACACTTAATTGACTGAGCCACCCACATGCCCCCAAACTGTGGCATATCGTAAAGTCACCATTAAAAAGGATGGGATATAATAAATCTGAATATAACCCTAATCCAGGAAGTGGGAAAAGTGCAAGTTTCAGAAAAATATGAACAGCATGATGCCATTTTTATTCAAGAATGAAGAAAATGAACACCAAAATATGTATAACTACACAGAAAAGGATGTTTATGTACAGAAATAGATAAAAAGACACCCTAAACTATTAAGTGATTAACTCAGGTAATGGACTAGAGAAAGAGAGTAAGAACCCGTCTTTTATCCTATATACTTTTGTAATGTTTGAAATTTTATAAACATATTCATATGCTTATATATTAAAATTATAAAAAGCAATCTATATCCAATAGTATAAAAATCTTAAAAGAAATCTGACTAGTAAAATTAAGGCAAAGAAAAAAACCTAGAAAAAACTGTTCACTTCATGTTAACAAGGCTTTCATTTATAATGAGTTCTGACAAATCAACAAGAAAAATATTGCAGAAACCTAATAGAAAAATGAGCAAAGGGCATGAATAAATTAAAGTAGACCAAAAAAAGTTCAGCTTCACCGATAATTAAGGAAATGCAAATAAATATATGACATCATTTTTAACCCATCACCTTATAAAGCTTTTTTTTCCCCTGAAGATTTATTCATTTGACAGAGAGAGAGAGAGTACGGGCACAAGCAGGTGGAGTGGCAGACTCCCCACTGAGCAGGAAGCTGGACACGGCTCAATCCCAAAGACCCTAAGATCACCACCTGTGCAGAAGGCAGACGACCAACTGACTGAGCCACCAGACGCCCCAATCTTAATAAAAATAGGATAAAGAGTTGCTGAACCTGGATGACTTGAACTCGGAGGTGTAGTCGTATGAGGAGTCTTGGATTCTGAAAAAATTAATTTGTTTCAATTCACCAACTTTATCAATACAAAATTATGGATTTAATTTTGATTTAATTTATTTTATTTTTTTTATTTGTAAAGATTTTATTTATTTATTCATGTGAGACAGAGAGAGAGAGAGAGAGAGGCAGAGGGAGAAGCAGACTTCCCGCGGAGCAGGGAGCCCAATGCGGGACTTGATCCCAGGACTCTGGGATCATGACCTGAGCCGAAGGCAGACACTTAACCATCTGAGCCACCCAGGCGCCCTTAATTTTGATTTTAAAAAGATTATTTCTCAAAGTGAAAAATACTTACCTTTTAAACTTTGTAATTCTATTTCTGGGAATTTAAGCTAAATATCTATTTGCACAAGTACATCAGAATGTATGCATAACAATGTTCGCCATAGCTTTGTATTTTAAAATGGAAATCCCGGGGCGCCTGGGTGGCTCAGATGGTTAAGCGTCTGCCTTCGCGGCCTGGGATCGAGCCCCGCGTCGGGCTCCTGGCTCAGCGAGGAGCCTGCTTCTCCCTCTCCCTCTGCCTCTCTCCCTGCTCATGCTCTCTCTCTCTCTCTCTGTATCTCTGTGTCTCAAATGAATAAATAAAAAAAAAATCTTTAAAAAAAAAATGGAAATCCCAAAAGTTAATTGACAATAAATCACACAAATAATGGAGTTCAGAGATAGCAACTCTGAAATCTGGAAGATATTTCCTTCCAACCATAGCAAAATAACCTTTCAGTTCTTAAGCAGAGTAGCTTATCAGCAGAACTGGCAAGAAATCCTCCATTTCATTTCAATGAATAAGAACTACTCCTGTCTTTCAGTGGCTATGAAATCTATTTTCTACTGCTAAATAAAAATGCCCAGTAAAAAGAAAAGAATAAATGTATGAGACAAGGAGTTTGGTGGGGGTGGGGAATGGAAATATAGGTCTTATTCTGGAGATAGCAGAAATGTCCCACTTTAAACTGTGCTACAAAAACAAAACAAAACAAAACCACCACCACCACCACCACTACCGGCACCAACACCAACACCACTACCAACACCACCACCACCACCACCAGCACCAACACCAGCACCAACACCACTACCAACACCACCACCACTACCAGCACCAGCACCACCACCACTACCAACACCACCACCACTACCAGCACCAACACCAACACCACTACCAACACCAACATTAACACCACTACCAGCACCAACACCAACACCAACACCACTACCAACACCACCAACACCACCACCACCAGCACCAACACCACCACCACCACTACCAACACCACCACCACCACCACCAACACCACTACCAACACCACCACCACTACTAACACCAACATCAACACCACTACCAGCACCACCACCAACACCACTACCAACACCACCACCAACACCACTACCAACACCACCACCACCACCACTACCAACATCAACACCACTACCAACACCAACACCAGTACCAACACCAACACCACTACCAACACCACCACCACCACCACCAGCACCAACACCAACACCACTACCAACACCAACACCACCACCACCACCACCAACACCAACACCACTACCAATACCACCACCACCACCACCACCACCACTACCACCACCAGCACCACCACTACCAACACCAACACCACTACTAACACCACCACCACCACCACCACTACCACCACCAGCACCACCACTACCAACACCAACACCACTACTAACACCACCACCACTACCAACACCAACACCAACACCACTACCAATACCACCACCACCACCACTACCAACACCAACACCACTACCAACACCAACACCACTACCAACATCACTAGCAACATCACCACCACCACCACCACCACCAACACCACTACCAATACCACCACCACCACCACTACCAGCACCACCACCACCACCACTACCAACACCAACACCACTACCAACACCAACACCAACACCAACACCACTACCAACACCAACACCACTACCAACACCAACACCAAAAACCAAACAAAACTGGTTGCAGTCCAGCAACTGAAACACAGTCCTGGACCAGAAAGACACCCTTAAGGAGCCAAGAGATCACTTTTACGAGGAATAAAACAGCAAAGTAAAAGATACAGAAAACATATACATTAAAAAAACAAAACATATACAAAAAAAATGTTTTAATATACATTAAAAACAGAAGACAAGGACCTTCGTCTTCACTAATATTCATTCGAGTGATGTCATATGAGCTACCTTTAGGAGCTTCCCATATTCAAGGCACTGTGCTTTTTAAATGAATCCCATGAAAAGTTTACCATCACTCACTGGGGAAGGCATTAAAATCATTTCAGAAATACATACACATTTAAAGTGTCCATAACTTGCCCACGTTTATATACCTGTTGCTATCTGTATGCTATGGCATATAGTTTTAGAACCATTAACAACTTAAAAATGACTATCAGTATGTTCTTCCTCCTTTCATTACTGAACATGATGAATGCGTATAAAAAATTAGAGATTTAGATGATTTTGAAAAATATAAGCAGGAAATTACTAAACCTGAGACACTTGAAATTGGAGGTTTTGTACTGGGAGGAGGCGACACTGCAAAACAAAACAATGTAGATGGATCAAATGATTGAGTTATTGCTGGCATGTGCACCAGGAATTTAAAAAAGATTTTTGGAAAATACAAGCAGAAAGTTACTAAACCTGTATGATTCAAAATCGGAGGACTGGTACTAAGAGGAGTAAGCACTGGAAAAAAAAAAATGTAGACCGGATCAGCCACCTGGAAATTAATGCTTTCTTTTCATTTATGAAGTTAGCCTTCCATTCTTGGCTTATTTAGGTAAAAATTCCCATGCTTCAATTTTCTGAAAAATGGCTGCTATTCATTTTTGCACATAAGAAAAGCCAAACAAGATAAATTTATATACCTCTGTGACATACCTAACATGCGAAGACCCTATGAAAACAGATAAAGTTACAACAGCACAATTCTTTTTTCAGTTTTGTCATATATCTGTCAGGGAAACAATTACAAGACAGAGTTAAATACTTAAATTGCTTCTGTTCAACTATTTGGCATCACCTCTATTTAATGTTGAAGAAACAAAATTAAAAAAAAAAAAAAAAAGACGAGACAGAAAATGATACCCGGTGTACCTTTAAGACACATTGGCTGTGCGGGCTCCCAAGTACTGTTACTACCACAAACAGCTATGCTGCTGCCCTCGTGGTAAAACCCCGGTAAGCACTCGAATTTGACTATTGTTTTGTAGTAGTATTTCTTTCTAAATCCTGATATCAGTCTTCCATTTTCAGGGTCCGGAAATGGACATCTGACGACTGAAACGTAAAGAAAGTCCAGAATTAATGGAAAGCTGCTCTAACATAGGAGCAGAAAAAATATACAAGCTAATAATTCCCAGCGGGAAGAAACATACAAGGAATGAAAGGCAAGGTATTAAATAAAAGAAAGAAAAAAAAAAAAGACACCCAAGAAACCTGCATACGTATGTACATTTTAACTCCAGGGAAACAGATTTAGAGAAATCGAATAACTTTTTTCCATCTAGAAAAGACTAGCATTATAATTTATTGGCCTTCCTACATTTTTTCCCGTTCCTGACAAGGTTTGAGAAAGGCCTGACTGCCACATACAAATCTGGGGTAAGTTCAAGAGCAAGTTTTGATCCTCCTTTGCTCTAGGGACTTTTGGAAGGTCGTGTTGACACTGATTGCATACCCTGTTTTTCTAGAAAGGTGGGAAAAACCCTCCTGAGCAGGCAATACTTGAGCTCAAATTTGCAAGTTGAAAAGCAGGTAGCCATGCAAAGATAGGCAAAAAGGAAGCGCTCAGGTAGCAACAACATACACAAACCGGGATGTTCAAGAAATGCAAAGGCCAATGGAGTTAGGGCAGTGTTTTCCAAACATCTTGGCCTGCAACCCAGAGCTCAAACAACACCTTTTACCCTGTAAACCAGTATATGAGCGCAAAGGCCTGAAACACAAGTTAGCCTCATACCAGCGGGCTCTGCTATTTCCCATTCCACTCTACCTCTTAAGAGGTAAACTACTGCTCATGACCCGACAGATCGATTTCAGAATCGATTAATGGGCTTGGGAGAATTTGGAAACAAAGACAAAAACCACAGGGCTGGGCAGTGAGTATAACAGAACATCTTAGGACATTAAATCTGAGCAAGAGATAAGGGCCAGAGAGTGGACAGCCTTTTCAACCAGAGGACTGTTCTTCCCCTGCTCCCAGGGATTCTGACTCTCCCGCAGCCTGAGGAACTTCCGTAGCAATTCCTATAGTGCAGGTCGGCCCGTGATTCTCTTGGCCTGGGTTTATCTCCAAATGTTTCATTTCCTCATCTTCAGTTTTGAAAGAGTTCTCCTTGACGGAGAATTCTAGATTAAGTGTTTCCAGCACACTAGCAGATGCTGTCTTCCAGTCTCCACCGTTGCTCAGGACAAGTCAGCTGTCACTCACACTGGGGCGGGGGCAGGGGGGACAGTGTGACGTGCGTTTATTCTCCCCTCTCCCTGACTGCTTCTCCTCGCACACCTTTTGTTTTCAGTAGTTTCACCCTGATGCGTTTAGTTTAGTGGGGGTTCCTTGGTAAATGAAAACAGTGTATTTATCCTGCTGGGGTCACGGACTTTCTTGGTTCTGTGACGTTACTGTTTTGGGACAAATGTGGTTAATATTTGGCCAATATTTATTCAAATCGTTGTCTATCCTGTTCTTTCTCCTCTCTTTCTGATGCTCCAACAGCATGTATGCTTGACTTCTTGCTACTCTTCCACAGGTCTGTAAGTCTCTCTCTCTCTTTAATATTTCTTTTCAAATCACATTCTCCTGACTTGAGGTTCCCTGACTTTCGCACTGTTGTGCTAAGCTGCTGTTACCGGCAATGGCTTCTTTATGTTGGCTAGACACAGCTCACATACAGTAAACGTCACCCTTTCCAGTATCCAGCTGTATTAGGTCTGACGAATGCAAATAATCATGAAATTACCACAATAAAGACCCAGACAAGTTCCATTACCCCCCAACATGTCCTCATGCCACTCTGGAATCAACCCTACCCACCCCCACAACCACCTTCACCAACCAGCCCAACACCGATCTGTTTGCTATCTCTATACAGCTGCTTTTCCAGAATGTCATAATGGGATCACTGCCACTGAGTATGGCTTATTTCACTTAGCATAATGCCTTTGAGATTCATTCCTGTTGCTGCATGGATTAGAGCTCACTCCTTTTTATCGTTGAGTAGTATTCCACTGTATGGATGTACCAGTTTTTTTTTAATCCATTTCACCAGTTGAAGGACAAGTGGGTTGTTTCCAGTCTGGGGTGATTATAACTAAGGCAGCTGAATATTCTCATACAGGTTTCTATGCAAGCATGTTTTCATTTTACTTGGATTGATGAGCTGTGTGATAAGGATATGCTTAACTTTATAAGAAATCACCAAACTGTGTTCCAAACAGGTTAGATTCTTATAAAAAGTGTATGAAAATTGCAATTGCTCCGTATCTTTACCAGTATAGGGTATTTTTAGCTTTTAGTTGTAGTTTTAGTTTTTTAATTTCAGCCATTCTAAACAGGTATCTAGTGGTATCTCATTGTGGTTTAAATTACATTTCGGGGCACCTGGGTGGCTCAGCCGTTAAGCATCTGCCTTCGGCTCAGGTCATGATCCCGGGGTCCTGGGATCAAGCCCTGCATCGGGCTCCCTGCTTAGCGGGGAGCCTGCTTCTCCCTCTCCCACTCCCCTTGCTTGTATTCCCTCTCTCACTCTGTCAAATAAATAAATAAAATCTTAAAAAAAAAAAAATTCTTTTAAGAGTGTCTTGTGAGAGCAGACATACTGAACTTTTAAAAAGTCTATTTCATTAATTTTTTTCTTCTTTAAAGGATCATGTTTTTACGGTTGTATTTAAATCTCTGGCTAGGTCACAAACATTTTCTGTTTTCTAATAAAACTTCTATAGTTTAGGTTTTATATTTAAGCCTATCATCCATTTTGAGTAAACATTTTTATAGTGTACTAACATGAATTAATGATTCTTCTTGGTATTTTTGAATATGCATGTACTTTTATCATTTTTCCACTGAATTGTTTGTAAACTGTGCTAAGATCAACTAGACATATCTGGAAGGATTTATTTCTGGACTCTCTATTCTATTCCATTGCTCTTTAAGGCTACCCTTTCAACAATACCACCCTGTCTTGATTATATGCTTTATACTATGTTTTACAATTAAGTCCTTAAGCCAGGAAGAATGAGACTTCTGATTTTTTTCAAAAATGCTTTGAGTATTTTGCTTCATTTGTCTTTTCATATTAATTTTAGATTCAGCTTGTCAATTTATATAAAAAATTCTGCTGGGATTTTTGTTGGGATTGTGAACTTATAGATCAGTTACGGAGAATTGACCTTTATTATACTGAGCGTTCTAATTCATGTGACTGAATTTCTATTTATTAAGATCTTCTTTTAGTAAGTGTTTAGCTGTTTTTAGCCATTCAAATCCTCCATGCTTGTTCAATTTATACACAAGTATTTATACAAGTGTGAAGTTGCAAATGGTATTTCAACATTTTGTTTCTAATGGTTTATTGCCAGTATGTAGACATACAGTTGATTTCTGTACATTGATCTTGTGTCTTGCAACCTTGCTAAAACTTTAGTCTTTCAAATCTTCTACCTAATCATCTCATGAGTGAGTACAGTATATTTTATTTCTTCCTTTCCAGTGTGTTCCTATTTCTATCTCTTGCTGAATGTTGAATACAATACAATGCTGAATATAGTGGTGACAGCAGACTTGTTCCTACCCTAGGGGGAAATAAATTAGTCTTTCATCATTAAATATAATGCTAGCTATGGCCTTTTTATTAGGTTCAGATAGTTTTGTTTGATTCCTAGTTTGCTGAGAAATGTTATCATGAAAAGATGATGACTTGTCAAGTGCTTTTTTTTAACATCTATTAAGATATGATGTGATAAGATAAGATATGATTTTTTTTCCTTTTATATAGGATCTTGATATGATAAATTATACTGACAAATTTTTGAATGTGATTCAAGCTTGCTGCACTCATGGAATAAATCTTACTTGATTATGGTGTATTCTTTTGCTTTTTTTAAAGATTTTATTTATTTATTTGACAGAGAGACACAGCGAGAGAGGGAACATAAGCAGGGGGAGTTGGAGTGGGAGGAGAAGCAGGCTTCCCGCTGAGCAGGGAGCCTGATGTGGGGCTTGATCCCAGGACCGTGGGACCATGACCTGAGCCGAAGGCAGATGCCCAATGACTGAGCCACCCAGGCGCCCTGCTGTATTCTTATTTTTATATATGAGAGGATTTGATTTGTTAACATTCTGTTAAGAAGTTTTGGTTCTACATTCATTATGGATATTGTTTGTAATTTTTTTGCAATGTTTTTGTTTGGTTTAAATATCAGGGTAATGCTGTCCTCACAAAATGAGCTGAGAAGTATTCCCTCTCTTGTATTTTCTTGAAAAGTTTGTGCAGAGCTGTTATTATTCATTCCTTCATACTTGGTAGAATTCCCCAGTGAGGCCATAGGACCTAGACACTTCTCTTTGTGAGGTTTAAGTTGTCAAATTTATAGGCATAAAGTTGTTCCCTTATTATCTTTTAAATGTCTGCAAGATCTGTTAGTGATGTCCTCTTTTTCATTCTTAATATTGGCAATTTGTATTTTCTTTTTTCTTGTCAGTCTGGCTAAGGAGGTTTATTCATTTTATTGATCTTTTCCAAGAACCACAGGTTGGTTTCACTGGTTCTCTCCAATTTTTTCTCTTTTGAATTTCGTTCATTTCTACCTTTACTGTTTCCTTCTGTTCCCAGGTATTGAGTTTAATTTCTTCTCTTTTAGTTTCTTAAGGTGGAAGCTTGGATCATGGGTTTGAGACTTTTCTCTTTTTCTAATAGAAGGATTTCAGGCTGTAAATATCTTTGTAAGCAATGCTTCTGCTGTATCCCACAAATAGTGATATTTTGATATGTTGTCTTTTTCATTTTATTCAATTCAAAACACTTTCTAATTTTCCTTGTGACTTCTCCTTTGACTCATGGATTGAAGTATCTTGCATAATTTTCAAATATTTGGGGCTTTTATAAATCTCTTTGCTTTCTACATTCATTTCATTGTGATCTGGTATTATACTCTGCATGATTTCAATTTTTAAAAAAATTTTAAACTATCATATTGTGTAGAATATGGTATTAGAGAATGTTCCATGTGTACCTGAATATATAGTTTGCTGTCATTCAGTGGTCCTTTCTTCCAAGAGTCAAATTCCCTCCAGAGTCTCCCTGCTTTTGGCCACTCTCTAGAGCCTTACACATTATTTTTAAAATGTTTTGTCCAGAGTTTACCATTCTTATTTGTGAGAGGGTTAGTCTTTCACAATTTGCTCTACCAGTGCCTGTAGCTTGAACTCTCAGACTTCTTGTAATACATGATAAAACTTATTCTGAAGCCAGTGTATGCTGAATCTTGATGTTTCCAAAGAAAAAAATCCTAACTCATGCATACACACAGGAGTTCACAGTGTATTAATTAGAATGCCAAGAACAGGTAGGGTAAGGGCTGGGGAGTTCTATAAATAGAACTACTTTTGAGTCACTTGGGCCTACATTAAACTAAATTAGGGGCACCTGTGTGGCTCCGTTGGTTAAGCATCTGACTCTTGATTTTGGCTCAGGTTGTGATCTCATGGGTGGTGAGATTGAACCCTGCATCGGGTTCCCCGCTCAGTGGGGAGTCTGCTAGAGATTGTCTCTCTCCCAAACAAATAAATAAATCTTTAAAAAAATTAAATTAGAAACCAATTTAATGGGAGGAGCAAGCACATGCGGCTGTTTTGTTTACTTGTAGGTAAGTATTTACCAAGTGTTTCCAAAATATTTACAAACGAAGAAGGAAAGAAATGAAATATTACCTTTACACTGAGGAGGGTCACTACTCCATACACCATCACCAGAACAAATAAGCCTCCTCTCTCCAATAAGTGAATATTCGTCTGGTCCACTTGAAGGATCACAACTGTAAGTTACCACTTCATTATATTCAAATTCATCCTTCTCACTACTGGTATGTTTTCCATTTGGTATTTTTCCAGGTGACGGACACATTATCTCTTAAAAAGTGGAAAAAAAAAAAAAAGAGGACACGAAAGCAAAAGGAAAGGAAAAGATTAGGATAGCATTAGTGAAGTCCTATGAACTGCCTTGAATAAATTCACTGATACATGATTTCCACAAGCTAGCTGTAACTCCAACATCCATTTAGAAAAAAGTTTCTGTGAGAAAATATATTATCCCAAATTCAAACCAGTAATGTAGACGTGAGCTTTAGTAAAACTCATTTTCTTAAATACCTATGTAAGACACCTATATAAAATACCTATATTTATCTGGAAAGCCATTTTAAGTTCTCACTGTGAGAGATGCTGACAATTTAGTGAGAAAATATGCTTGTGATTAAAAATAAAACTCAGTGCTGAGAAATGCATTATAATTTATAAATATACTTGACACTTGAACAACAAAGGGGTGAGGGGAACTAATCCTCTGCACAGTTGAAACTTCCCATATATCTTTTGACTCCCCCAAAACTTAACTACTAATGGCTTACTATTGACTAGAAGCCTTACCAAGAACTTAAACAGATGATTAACATATATTCTGTATATGTATTATATGCTATATTCTTACAATAAAATACGCTAGAGAAAAAAAGTGTTATTAAGAAAATCACAAGGAAGAGAAAATACATTTATAGTACTGTACAGTTAAAAAACCACAAATAAGTGGACCCAAACAGTTAAAATTTGTGTTGTTGGAAGGGTCAACTGTATATCCAATCACTAAATCGGTAGCTTATAGTATCAAGATACTACTGTCTGTTTTCACGTTCATCCTAATGAGTCTACGGTGAAATTATCCAGATACTCCAAATTGTGATAACACAACAGACTGAATCCAGACATCTTCCTTTAAGCCAGATTTTGAAGAGATTTGCCAAATTGTGAAACAATGCCACTATTCTTTCCTTTGGAAAATTCTGCTTTTTTATAAAAAAATATGTGGCATATATTAACATGCATTGAGCTTACAGTTCTTAAAAGTGAATTAATAAATATTTATTTTAAAAATTTCTCTGTTTTAATTCCAATATAATGACTACCAATAGACATAACCCACATAAAAAAAAGTGCTTTGGGATTTCCAGTTTTAAAGCATACAGGGATCCCAACAACAAAATTTTAAGAACTAGTACTCTAGATTCTAATGAAAGAATACACTTACTTGCACATAGTGGGGGATCATCACTCCAAGTCACTGTATTTTCGTCATTACTAGAAAGTTCACAATATAGAATTCTTTTTCCAATTAACCGAAAGCTAAATGAGAAAAGAAAAAGTTACTGGATTCTCTAGCAGTTAACAAGATGCATATAATAATGAAAAAAAATTTTTACATGGTTGTTTCTTTATGCTACAGTAGTTTGCCGTTCTTCTTTTTTTAAAAAAAACTTTATTTATTTGACAGAGACAGACACAGCGAGAGAGGGAACACAAGCAGGGAGAGTGGGAGAGGGAGAAGCAGGCTTCCCGCCGAGCAGGGAGCCTGATGCAGAGCTCGATCCCAGAACCCCGGGATCATGACCTGAGCTGAAGGCGGACACTTAACGACTGAGCCGAGGCGCCCAGAAGAAGTTCTTTACATGACATATAATGAGAATGCTAACCATATCTGTAATTTAACCAAATAAAGAGTTTCTGCATTTAAATATACATTGACCTAGAGCAAAGATGTCTAAATAAATCTGTCATATCTGTCAGTCTGGCCACTTTGCTATCTCCAGCAATCACCTTACACATTCACTTCTATACATAGAAGCATAGGCTCCTGCCTTTCTTTCTTTTTTTAAGATTTTATTTATTGATTTGAGAGAGCACAAGCTGGGGAGAGCTGCAGAGGGAAGAGACGCCCTGCTGAGCAGGGAGCCCGATGTGGGGCTTGACCAGGGGAATTAAATACAGATTTGAGCATGCAGAAGAAAGAACTGGCAAACTGAAACTACTGAGCAGAAAGAGAAAAGACTGAAGAAAAGTACGCAATCAAAGGGACTGTTGGGACACCAATAAGCAGACAAAGATATACACTGTAAGACTCTCAGAAGATCGAAAAGGCACAGAGAATATTTGAAGAAACAATGGTGGAAACTTTCCAAATTTGATGAAAGATGTGAATATAAATATCTAAAATGCTCAAAAATTCCAAGTAAGATGAACTCAAAGAGACCCACACTAAGACACATAATAATCAAACTTCCAAAAGACCAAGAGAGAATCTTGAAAGCTGGAAGACAGAAGTGAATCATCACTTACAAGGGATCCTAAATAAGATTATCAGCAGATTTCACATCTGGAACTTGGAGGCCAGAAGACAGGGGGCTGACTGAATATTCCAAGTGCTAAAAGAACAGAAATCTGGCAAACAAAATTCCTCTCCAGCAAAACTGTGCTTTAAAAGTGAGGGGAAAATTAAGATTTCCCCAGTTAAAAAAAAAAAAAACCTGAGGAAGTTTGTGACCATTTAGACCTCACTTGCAAGAAATGTCCAAGGAAGTCTACAAGGTCAAATGAATGGACACTAGAAAGTAACTTGAAGCTGTATGGATAAATGAAGATCTCACTAAAGGTAAATACCTGGGCAATTATAAAAGCTAGTATTATTTTAACAATGGTTTGTAAATAAAATTTTTGTCTTCTATGTGATTTAAGACAGCAATCTTTTATTTTTTTATTTTTTAAAGATTTTAGTTATTCATTTGACACAGAGAGACAGCGAGAGAGGGATCACAAGCACAGGGAGTGGCAGGCAGAGGGAAAAGCAGGCTCCCCGCTGAGCAGGGAGCCCGATGCAGGGCTCGATCCCAGGACCCTGGGATCATGACCTGAGCCAAAGGCAGATGCTTAACAACTGAGACACCCAGGCACCCCAAGACAGTAATCTTTCAGAATAAAATACATTATTAGTGTAGAAGCTAGTATTACAATTATTAGTGTAGAGATCACTATGACATCAATAGCCAAAAAGGGTGGGGCTGAAGCTGTAAATGAACAGTTTTTGTAATTTACTGAAGTTCAAACTGGAGTGCTAGGACTGTAGGATGTTAATTGTAGTCCCCATGGTAACTACAAACAAAATAGCTATAGAATATACACAAAAGGAAATGAGAGTGGAATTTAAACATTTCACTACAAAAATCAACTACAGACAAAATAAAACAGTAATACAGGAAATGAGGGACATAAAAAGCTATAAGGAATATAGAAAAAAATAGCACATTTCAGAAGTGTCTCCATGTCAGTAATTACTTTAAATGTAAATGGATTAAGCTCTCCAAGCAAAAGACAGAGATCAGCAGAATGGATACAAACACATCATCCAACTATACAGTATCTACCAGAGACTCATTTAAGCTTCAAAGACATATATGAGTTGAAATTGAAAGGATGGAAATAGTTTGGTTACAAACAGTAACCAAAAGAGAGCAGGGGTGGCTATATTTCAGACAAAATAGACTTTAAATAAAAAATGATTATAGGAAACAAAGAAGGACATTATATTAGTAAAGGTTAAATACAGAAAGAATATAACAATTATAAACATTTATATATCTAATGCCATGACATAAATATATATGAACAAAAACTGACAGGATTAAAAGAGGGACTACACATTTCTCATAATAGGTATTTCTATACTAATAGTTGGAGATTTCAATACCCAACTCACAAGAGTGGAAAGAACAACTAGAAAGAAAATAAGGAAATAGAGCACTTCAACAATACAATAAACCAATGAGATGGCACAGACATATGTAGAGCATTCTACCCAACAAAAACAAAATACATGTTCCTCTCACGTGCATATGGGACACTTTCCAAGACAGACACTATGCTAGGCCACAAATCAATAAGATAAGTTAATGTTATTAATAACATAATTATATAATAAATAATTAATAAGATAATTATGTTAGGCCACAAAATAATATTAATTAATCAATGATTTAAAAAAATATACATCATACAAAATATTTTCTCCGGCCACAATGGAATGAAGTTAGAAACAAGTATTAAAAGGAAAACCAGGGGCGCCTGGGTGGCTCACTTGGTTGAGCGACTGCCTTCAGCCCAGGTCATGATCCTGGAGTCCCGGGATCGAGTCCCGCATCCGGCTCCCTGCTCAGCAGGGAGTCTGCTTCTCCCTCTGACCCTCCCCCCTCTCATGCTCTCTATCTCATTATCTCTCAAATAAATAAATAAAAATCTTTAAAAAAAATAAAAAAAAAATTTTTTAAAAGGAAAACCAGAAAATTCTCAAAATTGTGAAAAATAGACATTGAAACAACCAATGGATCAAAAAAGAATCAAAGGGAAATTAGAAAATACTTTCAGGTGAATGAAGATGAAAACACAGCATACCAGAAATTATGGGATGCAGTGAAAGCAGTGCTAAGGTGGAGATTTATGATCATAAAGGCTTACTTTTAAAAATGAAAGGTCTGAAATCAATAACCAAACATTACAGCTAAGGGTACTAAGAAAAGAAAAACTAAACCAAGGTAGCAGAAGGAAGGAAGTACTACAGATTAGAGAGGAGATAAATAAAATAGAGGAGAAAAACAATACAGAAAATCAATGAAATCAAAAGTTGAATTCACAAACCTTTAGACAGATGAAGAGAGAAAGCACCAGGTGTTACACCCAGACAATAAATCATGGGGCACTACATCAAAAACTAATGATGTAATGTATGGTGACTAACATAGCATAATAAAATAAAATTTAAAAAAATAAAATAAACTACCAAAAAAAAAAAAAAAAAGAGAGAGAGAGAGAGAGAAAGAGAAGACTCAATTCATTGAAATCAGAAATTTAAGTGGGAACATTACTATCAACTCTACAGAAATACAAAATACAATAAAGTACTCAGCAATTTTACACCAGCAAATTGGATAACCTAGATAAAACAGACAAATCCCTGGAAAGACAAAGCCTACCAAAACTAAACCATGAAGAAACAGAAAATATGAATAGACTTATAACCAGTAAGGAGACTGAATCAGCAATCAAAATTCTCCCAATAAAGAAAAACCCTAGACCTGATGGCTTCATGGGTGAATTCTATGAAACATTTTTTTTTAAGATTTTATTTATTTATTTGAGAGAGAGGATGAGAGAGAGAGAGAGAGAGCATGAGAGGGGGGAGGGTCAGAGGGAGAAGCAGACTCCCTGCCGAGCAGGGAGCCCGATGCGGGACTCGATCCTGTGACTCCAGGATCATGACCTGAGCCGAAGGCAGTCGCTTAACCAACTGAGCCACCGAGGCGCCCTAAGATTTTTTATTTATTTATTTCACAGAGAGAGACACAGCAAGAGAGGGAACACAAGCAGGGGGAGTGGGAGAGGGAGAAGCAGGCTTCCTGCCAAGCAGGGAGCCTGATGCAGGGCTCAATCCCAGGACCCCGGGACCATGACCTGAGCCAAAGGCAGACGCTTAACTACTGAGCCACCCAGGCGCCCCTCTACCAAATATTTAAAGAAGAACTAATACCTATTCTTCTCAAACCTTTCCAAAAAATTCAAGAGGGAAGTCTTCCAAATTCATTATGAGATCAGCATCAACATGATACCAAAACCAGATGAACACACTACAAGGAAATAAAGCTAAAGACCAGTATCTCTTATGAACAATGATGCAAATATCATCAAAAAATACTAAACAACAAAATTCTGCAGCATATTATACACCATGAACAAGCGAGATTTATTCTTGGCATACAAGGATGGTTCAACGTGAAAAATAATCAATGTCATATGCCACATCAGCAGAATGGCCAAAAACCACATCATCGTCTCAAGTGATGCAGAAAAAGCATTTGACAAAATTCAACACTCTTTCATGATAAATATACTCAATGAACTAGGAAGACAAAGAAACTATCTTAAGATAATAAAAGCCATTCATGAAAAACCCACAGAAAATACCATACTCAATGGTGAAAAGCTGGAAGCTTTTCCTCTAATACGAGGAACAAGTCAAGAATGCCTGCTTTTACCAGTTCTACTCAACACAGGACTGAAAATTCTAGCCACAGCAGTTTGGCAAGAAAAAGAAATAAAAGACATCCAAAACATCCAAACTGGAAAGGAAGAAGTAAAATTAGCAGTTTGAAGATAATGTGATCTTCTCTGTAGAAAATCCTAAAGATTCCACCAGAACAAAAGTGTTAGTAGCATTAATAAATGAATTCAGCAAAGTAGCAGGGTATAAAGTATTAAAAAAATCAGATGCGGGGCACCTGGGTAGCTCAGTTGCTCAGCGT